AAGGGGAAGGGGAAAGCGCACAGGGCAACGCGCAAAGGGGAAAGGGGAAAGGGGTATATGCGCACAGCGTACACGTGTAAAGGCGCATGCGAGCTCTAGTGCTCTTGAGTGTATGTGTGCTTTGTAGAGTTTCGCCCCTCGCGGAGATCAGCGCACATGCGGACGCGGGCCTCTGATGCCTCTGGGAGTGTGTGCTGTGTCTGGTGTATCTCGACGCCTCCTGGAGCGGTGATGGCGGAATGATGGTCCCGGTGGGCTGCGGTGCTGCGGTGATCTCTGGAGGGTATCATTGTGGAGGCGCTGGTGGTGCTGGTGGTGCTGGTGTGCTGGTGGTGCTGGTGTGCTGGTGGTGCTGGTGGTGCTGGCGGTGCTGCTGGTGATCTCCTGGAGGGTATCATTGGCGGAGGCGCTGGTGGTGCTGGTGGTGCTGGTGGTTTCCTTGGCGGTCTCCTTGGAAGCCCGGGACAAAACCCAGCCCAGGGCGACGATCAGAAGCAAGATCAAAATCAGGGCCTAGACCAGACGCAGGGACTGAACCAGACGCAAGGATTGAACCAGACGCAAGGACTGAACCAAACGCAAGGACTAGACCAGCCGCAGGGAGGCCAGGGACCAGGCCAAACGCCAGGACAAAACCGGGGCGACTCGGGAGAGCTAACCCCTGCCGAGATTGAAGCCGATAGAAAGGCGGCGGACGCAGCAGAAGTTGAGTGAGGATAGTCATGCAAAAGGGTTGCTAAAGACTTGATTATGGCCTCGGGTTATCGCCTCGAAGCCAGGTTCTATGATACCTACTATTCACTATGTCCTGTATGAAATGTCTTTGTTAATATTAGTTATTTTTTATCAGCCTTACCTTTTGGTTCAGATAATATTTTGTTTCACTCCATTCCATTATCAAATAACTAGTACCCATCAACTGCGCCAATTTCGAGGGGTTGATCGGTCCTCTATCAATCAAAATGATAGCGTTGCCCGTTCACGCAAACGGTTTCTGCCTCCAATGAGCGCCAAGGATCTCTGGTAGATTCGCATCTCAAGGGAGCCAACTCCAGTTCATTCCATCATCCCGAGAAAGACAATATCACTCGTCCCTTTCTCGTCCTTCTGTCCAAAATGGCGCATAGAGCTGTAGCCGCTGATCCGAATGCCCCCAACCCAATTGTATTCTTTGACCTCACATTGGGAGGTAAGTGACTTCCCCCCGCTTCGATTTGTATCTAGTTATATCCCCAAAGCTCGTCGACGCAACCCAAGAAACAATTGGCAGGAGATATTTATTCCAAATTGATTACCATGCATGTTCAAGCCATGCTGACCCTTTCTTGTCCCCTTGCGACCACAGGTGAGTCTCTGGGCCGCGTCAAAATGGAATTATTCGCAAATATAACACCGCGCACGGCCGAGAATTTCCGTCAATTTTGCACTGGGGAGACCAAAAATGCCCGTGGAAGGCCTCAGGGCTACAAGGGCAGTAAATTTCACCGCGTGGTTGGTTTTTTCCTTTTTTTTTTTTCTCTTTTCTCTTTGCTTTACTCCTTACCCCAGCGATATATGGATGAAGTCGGGGCCCTGTATGCTAATCAAAAGTTGCGATAGATCAAGGATTTCATGATCCAAGGGGGAGATTTTCTCAACGGCGACGGGACCGGCAGGACGTGTATCTACGGGACTGCAACATTCCCTGACGAGAATTTTAATCTCACTCACGATGGGCCGGGCCTGCTTAGCATGGCGGTACGTTGGAACTCTTCCCTTTGTTTCTCATATATGTTCATTGAGGCGCCTGACTTGGGCTGTTTCTTGCAAAAGAATTCCGGACCAAATACGAACGGTTGTCAGTTCTTTATCACTACGGTGGCTACTCCATTCTTGAATAACAAGCATGTTGTCTTTGGCCGGGTTATTGAGGGTATGGAGATTGTGAAAATGATTGAGAATACGAAAACCACCCGGGATAGGCCGAATCAGGATGTCGTCGTCGCGCAATGTGGAGAAATGTGAATGTCGGGAGAGGACGGATCAATCAAAATGGAGTATTGGATTTGTATTTGGAGTCGTGGCTTTCTAACCGCTGGTTAATGTTGGCTACAACTGTATTGACATTGTCGGAGTGTTGTCTCGTAGATAACAGGCAAATTTCCCTGATCAAAGCTCTATGAATCCCATTCCAGGCACACACACAAAATCACCATATGGAAGAATATTCACGACTGAGCGGTTTTGCATCCCATGTCTGCCCATCAGCAAATTACACCTAATAAGAGCGGAAAATTGATCACCAGGCTTGCAACTTTTACAGCTTGAACTGTTCCAAGTACTTGGTAGCCGCGTCGAGTGCTTCATCGACTTTACCAACATCCGTGCCATTACCTATAGCGGTGGGTGCCTTACCGCCAGCCTTACCTCCAACGATAGCTGAAACGACGCCCGACCAGCTGCTCGCACTGGCTCCTTGAGCGCTAAGGGACTGTAAATGCAACGTTAGTGTACTAAATACAAATTGAGCCATCACTCCGGGTTAGAACTCACTGATGAGACATAGCATCCATGAGCAACACGTCCCTGCTGCTCATCTGCAGCAAATACGTATAGCGATTTATCTTTCAGTTTCGATTTCACATGGTTGATAGACTCGCTGATGGCCTTAGCATTGGCGGATGTGGGCAGCCGGACGACGAGAAACGAGGTATCTTTATTCTCGGGCTTTTCAAAATGTGAATTAATAGTATCCAGGGCTGCCTTGATCTCTTGTTTTTGTAGAGCCTTTTGTGCGTCAAGAACTTGCTTGTGGATCCGGGCGAACTGGTCGCGGAATCTGGCCTTTTCAACCGCTGAGATAGACAACTGATTCAAGTCAACCTGTACAAGCTTGGCCTCTTGTTCCTTTTGAGGACCTTGTTCCATCTTCTCGAATTTGTTAAGTCGTTCACCGAATTCCCTTGCGATGCGTTGCACTTCATGCGCGTCCTTACCGGTCACGGCGATAATACGCCGAATACCTTTGGCGATTCCGCTTTCTTCGAGAATCACAAGATCCTTAATGTCACCGGTTTTCTGAACATGTGTTCCGCCGCAAAATTCAATACTAACTCCTTTCCACCTGGGATCTTTGACATCTTTAAGAATTTCATCTAGTTCAACGCCAACGGAGACAACACGAACAGGGTCGGGATATGTCTCGCCGAAAACAGCACGTACACCGGTAATCTCGCGAGCTTTTGCCAAGGGAACATCTTGGGAATACACTGCGCAGTTTTGTCTGATATATTCTGTGGACTTCGCTTCAATCTTTTCCAGGTCACTGTCGGAAATGGCAGATTTGTGGGAGAAATCGAAGCGCAACTTTTCAGCCGCAACAAGGGAACCTTTCTGGTCGATTCCATTCCCAAGGACCTCTCGAAGAGCGAAGTTGAGAATGTGGGTACCAGTATGATTGTTACTGACCTCGTGCCTTTGGGGTCGAGTCAGCAATAATCGTTCTTGAAGCTTGCCATCAGCTGCGAGGGACACTGTGCATCAAGCACTCTACTAGCTTGAGGGAGCTGTCTCGCCTGCTTTGCGTAAAATACAAACGGTCTCAAGAATGGTACCCCGAATTGAAACGTTACGCCCCGATGTCCATCAACGATAATCTTCCCTATATCATACTCTTGACCACCTTGCTCCGCATAAAAGTTGGTCTTATCAAGTATTATACCAATCTGTTCGCCAGCAGAGATTCCGTTTGTGGAGGCGACAAACTCCTTGCCATGGTATATGGAAAGGATTTGGGACTGTATATTTCCCCTTCCAAACTTTGCGCTGTCATCTGTTTTGGGGACATTGTCCTTCTCAAGCTTACCGAGGTCGTGAACAGTAAGCTTGAGTAGGTCGGAAGCTGCTTTCGCCTGGCCTTTGCTAGCCTCTTTGGCCTTTAGCCGTGCTTCCTCGAACTCAGTATTATCAATGCTGAGACCGCGCTCCTCGGCCATCAGCTGGGTTAGGTCAACGGGGAAACCAAACGTGTCGTAAAGTCGCCATACGTCTGCTCCGTGTAGTTTACCAGAGCCAGACTCCTTGGCCTGCTGGGCATAAATCTCAAACTGCCGTTCTCCACGGTCCAGTGTTTTGGCAAAGGAGATTTCTTCTTCGTCCAAAATTTCCATCACATCAGTTTGTTTCTTTTTAATCTCCGGAAACATGTCACCCATTTGGGTCCACTAATGTTGGGACGATTTAGAGAAGAAATTTCCCAATTTCAACCTTCAAGTATTTCTGGCATAACGAGCGCCTCGTCGTAACACACGCCGCACAACGTAGCCACGGCCCTCGTTATTCGGAGCAGCTCCATCGGAGATCGCAAAGGTTAAGGTCCTAACGTGGTCGGCGACCACTCTGTAGGCAGTGTCGATCCCATCCACATCTTCTTCGCCGAATTTCCCGGCATATGGACGAACGCCGGTGATTTCGCGGATGACATCGAAGAGCGGCGAGAAGACGTCCGTGTCATAGTTGGACGATTTATCCTGCAGAACAGACACTAACCGCTCATAACCCAAGCCGGTGTCGACGTGTTTGTTTGGGAGAGGACGCAGAATCTTTTCAGACTCGCGATTGTATTGTATAAAAACGTTATTCCAGATTTCGAGGACATTCGGATCATCCATGTTAACTAGGTGAGCGGCATTCCGTCCGCCAATTCTGTCGTAGTGAACTTCACTGCATGGGCCGCAGGGTCCCTGGTCCCCCATCTCCCAGAAGTTGTCTTTCATATTCCCGGAAAGGATGTGATCCTCCTTCACGCCAACCCCTAGCCATAGGTCTTTTGTTTCCAGGTCAGGTTCGATGCCGGCATCTTTATTTCCTTCGAAATAGGTTACGTATAGACGGTCGGGCTCAAGGCCATAGACCTTGGTGAGGAGGTCCCATGAGTATTGGATGGCTTCTTTCTTGAAATAGTCGCCAAAACTCCAGTTGCCCAGCATCTCGAAGAAAGTCTAAAACGGACATTAGCATGCTAAGGCGCTTGAGGATGGATATCGCACGGCCACATACATGGTGATAACTGTCCTTTCCCACATCGTCAAGGTCCTATCGCGGGTCAGCCAGAATCTCAGACCTCGAGGGTTCGATACAGTACATACATTGTGTTTTCCGCCCGCACGTATACACTAATCCCACGAGTCAGTGGACAACCGACGCGACATTAATACCATGGCGACAAACCTTTTGAGAATTATGTGCGCGCTTCAAATGCGCAAAATCTGAATTTGGATCAACGGTGCCCAAGAATATCGACTTGTACTGGTTCATTCCTGCATTTGCGAAAAGTAGAGTAGGATCTGACAGGGGAACGACCGACGACGACGGCACTAGGAACAGCATAAACGTCAGTAAAGGGCGAGGAATCACTGGCAGCGCGGGGGAGGGAACGCTGGGCTCACCGAATGTATGGCCATTCTGCTTGAAGAAATTCAAAAACGTATCGCGCACTTTGACGGCAGGCCAATCGATTTCACGCTGTGAAGGAGCGGACGTAGACGAGGCCATTTTGAACTGCGCAAAGGAGTGCTGGATCGCGACGCTGGGAGTGTTGCGAGACGAGAGAGGAACGGCGGCGGCGGCGGGGTGGAAGCGGGATAAAGTCTTCGATGGCGAGACGAGGAACTTTTGAGTCACGCTCCAGTTTGCCAACACCCGCAGAGAACGCCTCCCACTCAACATCCAAAGGAACGGCTATGAATTGGTGGTGGTGTTATCGCGCTTGCATCTGACCAGAGAGGACGAGGATAGGAGACCGAGAAAATCTTTTTCCTTTGTGATTGGCGTCAGTCGTCTAGTGAACTGCTAAGTTTCTTTTCTTCCGGACATGCATGGATGGCGGCTGTGGGCAGAGCTGAGCTTCATGGGCAGAAGCGCCGCGCTGACGATGAGCTTGAAGGAGAACAACCGCTGACCAAGAGGTTCGGCCGTCTTCATATCGGTAGGTCTCCTGCTGCTTGCCTCTGTCTGTTTGTGTCCGCCAGATCGACTGATTCTCTGGCCGTCTTGAAGCTCCTCTTGTTGCCGCCAAACCTATCGCCACCCCGACCAGCCATGTCACTGCTCTTCCCACGGCCCGACACGCATCGCGACCAAGCGAAGACGGGATGCAGGTGGACGATACGAAAACAAGAGTGTACATTAGCGATCTAGAAAGTGAAATAGCGGAGATAGAGGCCGAGGAAGCAGGACACGGTATCAAGTTCCTGCGAGAGATCGAGAAGGAGCTCATGGCGATTCCGAAGTCGGTTCTAAATCACAGGCCCGATAATGAACTCGTTCTGTACGCTATCCCTCGTTCGCTGAGCATGCCTGAGGAGGAAGACATCGTCCGGCCAATCATGGCGGATGCGAGGGAGCGGGCGAGGGAGAAAAGCCTTGTGGATACGAATGGGGAAGCACAAGCAGGACAAGCTCCGTCTGCAGGCAGTGGTGACAAAGGAGACGATGCGAAGCTGCCTGGAACCAGCCCGATTGGCGAGCCGGAAGATATACCGTATGCTGACGACGTTGATGCCATGGACATTGACGGCTGATACCTGCGGATTTCTGCATCATGATCAACTGTCGCTCACGAACCGGCAGACCTACTACAAATTTTGGTTTGCATAGATATCCTAGCGTTTGATAGACAATGGTTATTATTGTTATATTACAAGTTGCGTTCATTGAGCTCTTCTTAATCTCGCGGTCTTTCGACTATTAGCCAAATATATCAATGCCGTCCAACACGGAGAGTAGACATATGGGACTACACTACATGGGCCCCGTCCTCGCGCTTGCGCAAATATCTATGTTCTCCGTAGTGGAACGCGCTCCGCTCGAGCTGTAATCGGCTTGGACTAACTGAGCAGACTGTGGTTAGCAAAGGGAGGTTAAGCCCCTGGTAACCGCAGGCAACATCCAACTGGCTTGCTTGTTTTCCCGTGGACATCCTCGTCCCTTTGAACTTTATGCCATCAAAGAGCGTTCTGGTTGACCCCTTGGGCGACCTCCGGGGGGGTAGTCGCCGCTCAGCCCATTGCCGAGAGCGGGTTCCAGCCCTGCATCTATCTCTCACTGTGTAGAATACCTGCTGTCAGCATCCAGCAAGACAGGCTTTACAGGAAATTTCCTCCGGAAAAGCGTGAGGAGATGTTGGAGGAGGCCTTGTTGAGCAGCTCTCGTCGCTGGGAATGATTGATTTTAGAAGGACCACGAATGTCTTTTTCTTTGTCAAATGGCCGCGCGCTAGGATCGTCTTTCTCGACGTCGGCCGCTTTAGTCTGGTGCTGCGCATACAGCGACTTATTGCGAGCTTTCTCCTACACGCGAGTAAGTATGCCAAAAACCACATTCATACGGAGATGGAAGATACGGTACATTGTATTCTTTCACCTGCATCGAGATCGCCCTCGATGAATCTTCAACCTGAGGCCTAGGAGCACCAGACGAAGCTGGCGCCTGGATTCCCATCACTTCATTTTCCAAGCGCTTTCGCTTCTGTTCCGCTGTCTCCGTCCATGTTGATGCCATCGACTTTCCAGTTGGTGCATTGGCAGCTCTTCCAGTATTGAACTTCCGATTCCGCAGTTTCGTTGGGTCTACCCTTGACGACAAATCTAGCTGTTCCGGAGGGCGTAACATCCAGTCATCTCGTTTGGTGGGCTCCGCGCCCGGTGGTGCTGACGGGCCAACCGGGCTTTCACTCTGCTCGCAGATGCCAGTATCTCCTCCGTGCGCGTCAGGATCAATGTTTGTCGGTGGTAGAGTAGGGCCGTAGCCGTCATCATCGTCATCGTCGCTGTCGCCGCTGCTGCTCTCGTTGTCCGAATCGGCCTGAGGCACGAGATGTGCGGGTGGCATGATCGGACCTATAACCCGCGCCTTTTTGCCTTGGGCTTCGTCGGCTCCCCCTTCATCGAGTTTCCGTTTTCCCTGGGGCGACGGGCGATCTGAAGCCGAGTTGGGCATTGCGTCTGCGCGTTGCATGGTTGTATGTGCTCGTGAAGTGATGGAATTGCGGCCTTCGACTGAGTGGCTCAAGATTGAGTTTGGCTAGAGTCCGATCTCAAAGTTGAACTTGCTGGATATTTATCCCATGGATGCTCACTTGAAGGCCAACTTATCAACTTTTCAAGACACAATTGCTGCTAATAGGTGCTGGCTGTGGTGATAGGAAGCATGGCGCCAACAGAAAGATCTTTAAGCATGGTATCGCGCGACCTATGCAGGTAACTTCCTACCTCCTTTGATGACGCCATATAATCTTGAAGCCAAATGGATATGAGCTCGCTTCCGTCTACATCTCGCCACGACCCTGCCATCATGGGCATCGCCGATCGTCCTAGTTGCTATCGACACCAGAAGCCTGCCGACGAAGCCTCAGTACAAGGAAAACAAAACGTGAATCAATCCCTCTTGTCATGCTATAGTAGCTAACTTGTGTACAGGAACTTGAAACCCTTCCCCAAAAAGTCAAGAAATAATCACCTCCGCTTGCGCCTCGTTCTCGGATTTTCCAGACAAAGAGCGTCGAATTTTGATTGACGGAATACTTGCAAGATGCTGTTCCTCGCAGCTATCATACATATCCACGTCTATCAAGGCGCTTATCAGGATAGATTTCTTCGCTGTTTTGCCCACGGAGCTGTCGTACCGCATCCTCCAGTATCTCGATACGACAACCCTATGTAGGGTCGCCCAGGTTAGCCATCTCTGGAGAAAGCTGGCTGATGACGACGTTATATGGCATCGGATGTGCGAGCAACACATCAACACAAAATGCCTGAAATGCGGGTGGAGTCTTCCTTTATTGCAACAGCAAGGGCGCTTGGTGCAGTCCCAGACTCTGGATCTCAGCAAGGGCTCGCTCGAATATTGGAATCCAATAAGAAAAGTAGATGGCTTGGAGACAAATGCAGATGTTCCGCCCAGCCACGGCTCTTCGACCAGCCCTCCTCCTGCTAAGAGACAGCGTGTACTGCATCACCATCTTCAACAAACTCGGCCCTGGAAAGAGGTTTACAGGGAGCGGTTCATGGTAGAACTCAATTGGAAGCATGGAAGGTATAAGACAACAGTACTTGAAGGCCACAAGGACAGCGTCATGTGCCTCCAGATTCACAACAATTATCTTGCCACTAGATCCTACGACGCTACAGTTAAACTATGGGAGTTGGATTCCGGAGAGCTCATTCGAACCTTTGAAGGCCATACCGCCGGTATCCGCGCTCTACAATTTGATGGTCATAAGATTATCAGCGGTAGCTTAGACCGCACCATCAAGATCTGGTGCGGGGGATTCCATAGCCAAGGTATGGGATGTTGTTACAGGCGACTGTGTGAGAATTCTGACCGGCCATACAGCGCCGGTAACATGTGTTGCCTTGACAGATTCGGTTGTGGCTACTGGTAGTGATGACTGCCGGGTGATCGTGTCTAACTTTAAACCGTGATATTAAATTGAATATCCTAGAAAGAAAAAGACATTGCCCTATTCTTCGGGCACCTAGCTCTATATATATAAGATGCTTAGTCTTATTGGGCTTAGCCCTCAGTCATTCAGAGCAGGTCTATAACCTGCCAACGCAGGGTTTTTCATCCCGTCCCCTTCCTCGAGGCCACCGTATCTAGCTAGATAACAATTTCAATCTCTCTGCCTAACAGCGCTTGATGCCGCTGCTTAGTCATCCGCAATTCGATATGAAGCTGCGAGAGACATCTGGTTACGGGGAACCAGGCAATGTGCTCGTTGAATCAATTTGGGCTGGGGTACGGCCCACCGACATTTGATGCCTATCACGCAGCAACAGGTCAACTCCTGCCGGCAAGGACACGACGTTGCAACGGGTGGAGTGCACTATTCGTTAGCCCGATACGATCCGGTTATTGAGAGTGGACATCCCGGCATTGTCCATGGGCCTTCTACGCGAGATGCAGACTCTCCACGGCCGGCCTGGCTGCTTGTCGGTGCTGGTGAGCGCCGGATAAATATTGCGTGCTGGTTACCGGCGTGACACCAATCGTGAAAATGCATCCAAGCGGTCATGTTGCCGCCAGGCCGGCTGTGACATGAGCGATTCTCCATTCCACGTCGGACGGGATTGGCCCTCGTTACGGGATTTTCGAGGACCATGCCATGTTGATCCTAGCCAGCTCATCCAGAGCCGGGGCAGAGCCAAAGGGAAACAAGCTCTGGAATGATCCTTGAATGATTTCCCCTCGCGAGTCACCCGGCCGCCCTGGCAGGGGATGTTGGCCTTCATGTCGGCATTCCTGCTATAATGCCTTTACCCCCTCGCCCCAGGAACGACATTTTCTCTTTTCTGAGCGCGTCATCGTTTCATTGAGAAGACCTTTGGTTTCAAACATCAGAAAGATGCGCGGTTTGACGCTCTTATCGTTTCTCCTGAGTCTCGCGGCTTTGTGTCTTGTCGATGGCCGGCGGGTTCTCCATCTGGCCAAGCATGAGGCGCCTGAAGGGCCAATTGAACATACCCTTGCGGCCCGAGAAGCTGAGCTTGGGGCACGCCCTAAGTTCCTGAACCGAAAGACTCGGCGTATGCATCATGAGCTTCTTCATTCTTGGCTCTAGACTAACAATAGCTGATGCCGCCTAGGTTTCGCTGTCAACGGCAAAAGAATCCCCGATGTCAACTTCGACGTCGGCGAATCCTACGCTGGCCTTCTTCCAGTCACCGGGAAACGACATGAAGACCGCAAACTGTACTTTTGGTTCTTTCCCTCTGTGAATCCACTGGCAAAGGATGAAATTACAATCTGGTTGAACGGGGGACCCGGGTGCAGCTCTCTGGAAGGATTGCTGCAGGAAAACGGGCCATTCTCGTGGCAGTTTGGGACTTTCCGCCCGGTCAGGAATCCGTGGAGCTGGAACAACTTGACCAACATGGTTTGGGTTGAACAGTGAGATTGGCCCGTCCATGCTGGAATGGATTAGCCGCTGATGCTCCTTGTTTCCCACACAGGCCCGTTGGCACCGGCTTCTCGCAGGGGGAGCCCACTGCGACATCTGAGAAGGATGTTGCTGAGCAGTTCCTCGGGTTCTTCCAGAATTTCGTTGACCTTTTCAATCTTCACGGAAAGAAAATCTACATTGCGGGTGAGAGCTATGCGGGATTGTACGTCCCATACATCGCGGATGCCATGCACGCCAAAAAGGATAAAAAATACTATAACATCCAAGACATTCTCATCTTCGACCCATCTGTCAACCATGAGACTGTTCTCCGGCAAGGTAGCAAAGAGCTTGACATCCCTTGCTGAATTGGATTATCTTACAGTGTTCTCTTAGTTCCCGCTGTTCCGTTCGTTGACCACTGGTCGCGTCTCTTCCCTTTCAACGAAACAACCACGAAGCGACTCCATGACCTCGCGGATTCCTGCGGTTACACCGACTACCTGAACAAATATCTTACTTATCCGCCAGTAGGGAAAATGCCCCAGTTCCCCGACTCCATCGCCAACAATAAAACTTGTGACCTGTGGGAGGCAATATACGATGCAGCCGCCCTTCTTAACCCATGCTTCAACATCTACCACATCGCCGACACATGCCCACTTCTATATGACCCTCTAGGATTCCCCGGAACCTTCCAATACCTCCCCGAGGGCGCAACGGTCTACTTCAACCGCACCGACGTGCAACGAGCAATCAACGCCCCCATCCAACCCTGGTCCGAATGTGGACTGCGCGACGTTTTCGTCGGCGGAAAGGATAACTCGCCCCCAAGCTCGTTCACCGTCATCCCATCCGTCATTGAAAAGTCGCCAAACGGCCGGACAATTATTGCCCACGGAGACCTGGACTACATCCTGATGACCAATGGAACGTTGCTGACAATTCAGAACATGACCTGGCACGGCGATCAAGGCTTCTCAAAGCCGCCCAGCGATCCCTTGGTTGTTCCTTATACCAGCATCGGAAACCGGGCTGCCATGTCTGGTGCCGGTATTATCGGGAAGACAAGAACGGAGCGTGGCCTGACGTACGCGGAGATGTATTTGACGGGGCATATGGGACCTCAGTACAACCCCGCAGGCTCTTATAGGCTCTTGGAATATTTACTGGGGCGAATTGACAGCTTGTCTAAGGCTTAATGTGCAGTCTTCAACAAATGGCGTGGCATAGTAAAGCGCGAATTGGTTGGAAAGCATGTACATACTTGAAATTATCCGGATGATTTCACCATCTTTAAATCAGCAGAAGCTGCCATCATCTACTGGCGGAGTACAGGTCAGCTCCATGGGTTATGGGGTACCACTTGGTAGGAAAACTCCGAATGAGTGGGAAAGCGAGAATATCCACTTAAAGATACCGATTCGATAACATCTAGAGATATGTTATTACAGCCATTCAGTAATAATAGCGCTCTGATCTTCCATCCATAACACTTAGCAACGCTTTTTGAACCCCATCTTCGGTTTGGAGCCATCAATACATACGACCGTCTCGGGGCGTCTGATACTCCGCACGATTATGCGCGGGCCAGGAGGTCCCCTGATGAAAGTTCTCTGCAGTGGGCGGCATCGCTTGTGCGAATTGACCTGGTGTACAATATGGCATATCGGGGGAATATATCCATGGCGAAGGGGGGTTCATTTGCCGGTAGCTATGTGTGACGTGCCCATCAAGCGGATGCCCATAGTGACGAGATTCGTAGACAACACCGCCGAAGGGGGGCCCCGTGGTGTCCAAACGGTTTGGCCCGTTGGCCCACCGCTCGTTGGGAAAGCGATCCGCTGCGGGAATATAAGGGTAAGGCGGTGGAACGCGGAAGCTACTAGTCGGGGCATGGGGGGTTTCTAACAGCTCGAAGAAGGTTAATATGGGTTTGGTCTACTGGAGCCAGCTCATGAGTACCGCGTACCTCGACCGCGACATGTTTGATCGTCTCGATGTCGCCGTGGATCTGATGGCTCGGGTGATGAGTGTCGGCGCCGATTTCGACTGAAAGAACGGGATCTGTAATTTCTAATATTGTCAAAGATTTAGTCAATCAAAGGAGGAAGAGAGGCAGCGATGGCAGAGGGCAGCTTCATAGTTTATCCTCGCATCAACTCTCATACCCTAAGTCAGACACTTCGTCCTCCATGAAATGGACCCGAGGCCTTCGCCTAGTCCTCCGCCTCCCCCTATCACGATAATGGTCTGAATCAATAGAGGAGCGCCTTCGCCGCTCTCGGCCCCTTTCAACTTCGTAATCCGGCACGGGAGGTGCTAATGGTTCGCGGCGACTAGAAGTCATTTGCGCATTAGTAAAGAAATATATCGACTTCAGAGCACGAGAGATCTACCTGTCCCAGGGTGAGTAGAAGTGTAGAGGATACCCATAGCGAGAAGGTCGTGAAGGCCAGTACGCTACACCGCTTGGCCGCGGTGGACACGAATAGACACAGTCGTTGCCATAGTCCACAGCTTGTGGTGGGATATCAGCATATACCGCATGATGTATATGGCGTTCTTGAGCAGGCGGTCCAAGGTCATGGCAACACCTGTGCGGAGTACAAGCGCTCCTGGTGTTCTGGCATTTCATATTACAGCAAGCGTTTGGCGATTCGGGGCAAGCCTTTCCTCGATCTAATTCTTCGCCATCGCGATAGTAAACACGATCCCGCTTCTTGGATGGGGCAGATCCATCCTTGTTCCCCTGAGGCTTCTTTTTATCACACCGCCCGCGCCTACGGGTGTCGCTATCGTCAGTGCTTTCATTGCTGGAGGTTTGAAAATCCCGGCACCTGCGGCAAACAGCAAACGCTGCAGTTTGTCCTGGTATGAAGGGATGGCGATGGTGGTAGGATGGAGACCTGTAGCGGCCACAAACACCACACCGGTGCCTTGTTTCCAAAGGCAACACGTTTTGACTCGGGATCCTCCCTGCAAGATCTCCTGGCGGCGGAAAGCCCAGTCGCTCTGGCGGTGGCGGCATCCACGGATTCGAATGGGGTGCGGTTCCATACCTGGGCCTCTGGGATGGACGATAATCTGCATCCGGCTCCAGCATTCTGTCAGTGGCATACGGATATGGCACCATCGTCCGTGCCGGAGGATAGACCATGCCCTTTGGATTCAGCAATGCGTTTGCAATCAAGTCTCGAGCCGATCTGGCCTTGGTTGGCTTACGAACGAATGCTGGTCGCCCCGACGGCAACCTTGTCAGATAGAGGGTACCAGGTTCACGGCCAGATTTAGCAATAGGAGACACTGCGCTGGAAGAATAAGAACATTCAGGATCAGACCTGCAGCCGTTTGGTCAAACCCCATGGGAGCTAACCTTGTCAACATCGCTCTATCTCTCAGCTCCGGTGCATAGATGAGACATATAAGAATCTAGGAGCCGTCGATGGGAAGAGATGGACCAAAGCTAGCGACAGAAGAGATATAAAATGAAAAAGAGCGTGCATAGAAAATCGAGCTGGTATGAAGAAAAGAAATGAATATCTGGGATATTCAGCATCACACCTGCACTTTGCAATGCTCAGGCGAGCGGTGCCAGGTGCAAGGGAAAGATCCATCGAGCAAGGGACCATGATCCACGCTGACAAGGAGAAAGCAGCAGGGCGTGATCTGACATTTTGATGCTGAAGAGCTCAGTGGTGATTATTTGGAGACTGATCGCTTGGACAGAGTAAGAAAGGAGAACTACTCAGCAGTGCATTTGAATACATACAGCCCATTTATTCTATTGCGAGATCTACCATTCGACCCCTGTGGCAGCTCCTCCATTCTGCTTCCAATCGCCGTCTCCATCATTCGTGTTCCACGTTGGATTTGCGCTGGTTGAGCCATTGGCACTGGCACCGTGGCGACTTTGGAACGGATCACCATTTTGCATCCGATTGTTGCTATTTCGAACACGCGCGCTCCCTCCACCGCTACTTGAGACACTGGTTCCTCGGTTTCTTCCACTATGGCCGCTGGGAAATTGCCCTCCTCTGCTAGACGACGGACCGCTCACATTTCTATCGACGCCTCCCGTGTGTCTGCTCTGAAAAGGATCTCCAGTTCCAGTAGAGGAACTACTCACGTTCCTATTGCTGCTCTGATGATGCTTACTCTGGAATGCATCCCCGGAATTTGTACAACTGTTATCGTTTGACCGGTGACGCTGAAACGGATCCCCGTTACTACGTCCTTTCTCGGCCTCGACATTCCCTCCGTTACCACCTGCGCAGCCCCGAGCATTGGTGGGCCGCCGTCCATTATTCCCACTACCGGCTCCGTCTTTAATACTTCCCGGGTGTACTGAAGGTCGCTTATCATGGCCCTGACCGTTGATCTGGGGTGTTGACCTCAGAATTTGCGCAGGAAAGTGCCCGCCTGAAGGATCGTGGTATAGGAGAATACCATGGAGTGGAATCGGAACACCATTGATATTACTGCTAGCCCCGTCAATGCTAAAGCTACTCAGGTTCGGCATATCCATTGGGGGTGCTGGAGGTAGCGGAGCCATGTGATTGTTTCCCGGAGGCCAATATCCAGGGAAATTTTGGTTTCCTGAGTTCCCGAAAGCTCCGCCATATTGCATCGAACCCGGGATTGGTTGATCGGGTTGTCCTGCGTTAGCCGGGTGCGTGCTGGTTTGATTACCGAAAATTCCCTATATATGCGGTCAACTGTCAAGTTCAACCACTCCCTAAGCTTCGCCTACCGCACCTGCGCGTTGAGAAGTTGATTCACAATCTCTGATTTAGGCAACATCTCCAATTTCTTTCGTTCTACCTCCGGATCCCGTTCCACCTTGACGTCGAATTTTCGCTCGATGATTTCTGTATTACTACGGTTAGCGATTGATCCGACGGCGCTTTCAGTTTTGGTTTACCTTGCAGCCGATATTTGAATATGAACTTGGCATATGGCTCCTCCATAGTGTCGAGGTATTCGGGAACCCGCAATTTGTGCAGATAATCCTCCGCTCGGCCAACTTGCACTTGGTGAGAAAGCGACCCTCTCTGGGCGATAGCCTCAGGTACGGTATATAGCGGTGGTTCGTCATTCTGTGGATCATAATATACTTGAGACACAAACGCAGGCTGCTGATTTGGTGTCACAAGCCGATATGGCTGCATTGGCACCCAAGAGGGCTGTTGAGCAGTCTGTTCCAGTTGCGGCTGCGGAACTGATTTATTATTTGCCTGTTCGTTGCTGTACGAGGCTGGCGCGTTCGAAGCTTCAACATTATCACTGTTGTTGTTTCCGTAGCCCTGTCCTAAACCCATTCGATCGCCACCCGGGTTTCCGCCGTCAGAATTATTTTTTTCACTATGTCCCCAGCTGCCTTGTCCGTGGTGTTGCCCGTTATCTTCACTATTTTCATTGCTCCATGCACCTTGCTGTGGTTCATGATTTGTGCTTTCGCCATTTCCAGTACCCCATTGATCGTCATTCGGCCCGTTGGAGTGGTTATTACCATCCTGATTATCATCCGGCCAGGTGTTGTTTGAGTCTTGGTTATCATTGCTCCAATCTAGTGGCCCTTGATTGTTCCCTGTATCACCTTTTGTGCTGGGCCAGCCGTCGCCAGCCCATCCGGTTGATCGGATATCCTCATTATTGTTATGATCTTGGGCTCCAAAATTGCCTTCGCCCCAGTTCTCCGGTGGTTGCTGGCCTCTTATAGACCCAGTCCGCGATTGGTTGGACCTCTTGTCCAATTCCAGTTCATTGCTCATCTGGTTCCTATCCCTCGGATCATTTCCAGCATTAGACCCATGGCCACAGCCACTCGGTTGATTTACATGTGGCTCATTCCCTCTAGCTGGTGATGCTTCCCTGGTGATGCTCCGATTACTTCTTCCCCAAGTGTGAAGTTGAGGTGCCTGGGTTCGGGGCCGTCTACACTGGTGTGGGATTTTTTTCCCGTCCGATATCACATAACAACCAGTATGAGCGACGTCGGAGTCATTTGGTTGCTTATTGCAGGTCTTGCAAGTGGACTGTTCGCTACCACATGTTGGTGTATTCACGTTCAATACAATCGAAGGTCCGTTGGCACCCCCTTGCAACCTACTTCCATATGCAATGCGTTCGCCTGTCTTGTGTTCGTTTTGGTAGTGCGTCCCATGCTCTTCCCCTGGATCTTCCGGCTGACGTAGATGTCCAGAGTGATGGACATCTAGTTCTACATGTTTTGCACTTTTGTTGCATTCAAGACAAGAGCTGCGCGAGCATATCCTCTTTTTCTGGGACCTTGAACGTTCGAAGGGTGCTTTCAACGCCGTACCATGGTGGTGAACTCGGCAATCGCTTTCTGGCGCTAGGTGTGATGTATGATACCATTCGTCGTTGAACCCACGACTGGCACCACTAGCGGTTCTTGAGTGACGAAAGCCCCGCTGCTTCAGTTTTGAATGGCTACATTGGGCGCATTCACATTCGGACTCGGTTAATTCAGAACTAGGCGATAGTTCGTGCACGATTTTTTCATGAGGTTTATATCTAGTTGACTCTCGGCGATCCAAATGGTTATGGGTTGAAGAGTGACTGCTAGGCCTTCCTCGCTCATCCCGAGAAAGTTCCCTAGTAGCATGACAATCGGGCCAGTCCCGATCCTCATTATGTCTTTGTCTTGTTCGTAGTCGAGCCGTCCGGTTTTGATATCCAGCACAGGATGAACAATCACCATCAGAATCGGATGGCGCTATATTGCCCGGCTCCCGGCGTGCGTGAGCATCCTGGCAAGACCCATAACATCTACCATCATTCTGCGGTGGATGGTGGGAATGATCGCAACCCACACAATAATCACGACTTGGCCCATGTCTGGCTGTAAACGGGACATTCTCGTGCGCGTGGTGGTCGTGCCGTTCGCGGTGATGACGGCGGGGAGCGTAATATCTGTCATTCGCCCCGTCAAAGAGCATACCAAAATCTGTCAATTTATTATCTATCTCCGGTTTGACTTCAACTGGAGGTTCTGGTTTTGATTCCAGCTCAGGTTCAGGTTCCGGGTGCTTGTATTTCGCTTTGATAACTTCAAACTCCTCGTCGCTGAGCGCAAGGTCAACATCTAGGGCATATTAACATTTTGTGGCCCAACATTCCGAGTGATCACTCTACCATTGGGGTCAGGGCTTGGAGCCATCGCCGAGTCTGGGGTGCGAGATCCATCAGATAGCCCTGAGGTACTCGCGTTCCGCGGTACGCATCGGAGTACGATCACCATTATTTCCCCCAGGTGATCGAAATGACTTTTGGGACCGATCTCTGGCATTCCGGGGATCTCTGGGACTATTGACAAGAGGTTAACAGCATTTTCTTTCAGGAATACCCCGTTCTAGAACACTCACTTATATTCAACGGTTCAAACCTCCAGGGCCTCCCAACCCACCTCCCCTCGGCTCGCTTCTCTTCTTTCTGCCTCACGCGGAAATTCACTGTTCTACTCGCGGGCAAGCCTTTGGCTCCTTTTCCTTTTGCTTTTGCTTTGTCTTCCGCAGCTATCAAGTCATCTCTATTCCTATTGCATTGGTAAACACCGTCCATGAAGACGAACATGGCCAGCCCTGGGGCGATGTAACCATGGGACTGGAGGTTGATGGAGAATGGCGTTGGGGCGGAAGGGATGGCGATGTAACTTTCCACGATGCCGTCGCTGTAGGATACGCCGTATTCCTTGAAGGGGATGTCCGTTGGGGCCCATTCGACGTGGCAGGAAAGCTGTTTGAGGGTTGGCATTGTTTGGTGTTTTCGGGGACGCGGTTCGGCTTTTCTTAGATGTGGAGAGAGAGCATTGAACTCTGGATTTTTGGGGGGGTTAACTGGTGAAATAGTAGTGAGGAAGTGGGATCAGTAAGAGAATCAGTTGATGCGCTCACAGAGTGAAGGAGTAGAGGTATTTTGATAGGAGGTGATTGTGTTGGAGATTGATGGTGAAGAAGCAGGTTTGATATCCCACAGCAACGGACGGAACAACCCGTCAAAACACCAGTGCAGTTCAAGTGTTGATTTGACTACATCACTTGTTCATCGCCAGCTTCTATGCGTAGATGTCAAGATTTGATGATCACCCAAATTTGATATTGCAACCCATGTCCTAGCTCAGGTGACATTTCTACGAGCAAAGGGTAGATCAAAGAAGAGTCCTATCATTCCAGGCTCGAGAGTAAGAAAACACAAGTCCATACATTGGAATAAAAGGCTAACGAAGGGCTACATTTGAATACAACAAGGTCACAACGGCAGGCTGTTGATATTCACCAATGGCACTGGCACAGACAACAAGGCGGGCTCACAACTTCAACTCAATCCCTCAAAACACAAAAACCTATGAACGATCCAGATGGAGAAAAGGGCACTTTTGACACACGACTCCTGCAACGAGAACCTCGAACTGATCCAGCCAAGTTGTAATCCGAACATCGCCTGACACCATTGCTCGATAAACCCAGTGTAAACCTGATGCTATTCCAAAGATACAGAAGATATGAAAAGGAAATTCCAGATTTCGCCAACGCAGCCTCACGTCATCAAAAGGTTCATAATCACGGGCACAGGGGATGGTGCAACGGTGACAGCTCCAAGAAATTCCCGCCGACGTTCCTTGTGAGAATGCTTGGGCTTCCATTCCAAGCAAGGCGGGAGGATATCACCGAAGACGCAACGGACTCGTCCGCACTGTCGTAATTATTGAGGAGCGAACCCACGGGGCTGGCAGCCCGGGACTGCTGGTGGTCGTCGAAGAACACAATGGAGCAGCGGCACCAGTCGTCATCGTTATCGCTCTGGAGGTCGACGAGCTGAAAGTCTGCTTGGGAATTCAGCCATTCGTCCATAGAATGCGACGGAGGGCCGGCGTCAGTATCTCGACGGTTCAGGCAAGTCAGAATCAGGTTGGGGTCCGACTCGGGAAAACGGTTCAAGATGTACTGCAAGAGGGTGGTACCGTGTTCTTCCTCGTTATCATTTAGGACGGGAGAGTCGATGGATATTGTGCTCTTCCAGGAAGGAAAACTGTCCTGGTCTGATAATTCGGAGTCCACCAAATCATGCATGACCTCGTGGATGCTGTTTTGCCTGGTTGGGGGCCAGCTGCGGGTCGAACGATGGCACGGATTGTACGCCATGGAAAGGATCGAGGCCTCGCGGATGTAGATGGCTGCCTCGATGGGATGCAATGCCCTGTACATAGGGGTGAGGCAGAGATAGGCTGGTTCGCTCATGCTGGCGAATTGGATGATCCAAAGATATCTATTAGATATTGATCAAGGAAAGAGGATGGAGATTCCGTAGAAGGGCAGGTATCTCGTCGTCTGGTTGGTAGGTCCGGGATCAATAGCTGGAATTTCTGCTGGGTTCTGACACAGGGAGAGAGCACAAGGTCCCTAACTATAGAAGAGGTGGAAAAGAGATAACCAATATGATTCAAAGACTTGGGGAATACGAAACTGAATATACACTCCAATCCCGGGAAGTAGTGACGACGTTGTCAAGTAGGGGCTTTGAGCTACATGAGGGGAGAGATGGATCACGGAATGGATATCATGTCAGAAAGGAATCAGAACCACGGGCAGAAACCACGCTCAATTTGTAGCATCCGTCAACATAGAGGAACGGATGGTCAAGAAGGCACTTGAAGGCAATGTGTCATCAGTTTGGCACACTTTTTACGGCAGCCTTGTGAGCTTGATAAGGCCGAAGTACGCACTCCGTAAATGTCCCGAAAATTGAGTAAAATGAATTGAAAATCATAAAACATTCAAGCTAGGAGACAACCTAGCTCGAGAGATTTCAAATGATAACGGTAAGAAGGAGAGAAAAAAAAAGGAAAGAAATGTTACCCTTCCCAGAAACCAAGCTGATTATCTCCATCCCAATCATGGCGGAGGCAGTACGGAGTAGATATCCCGAATACGACATGGAGGCCCTCATCGGAGGCTGCCGTTAGCTTGCCCAGGATCAGGAGAGCGACATGCACCGTCTGAGCGCGGAAGTCATGAATAACGGACAGGACAAAGCAAATTTTTGAGACGGCGCGCAGAGACTGAAAACTGAAGGGCAACGTCCAGGGAGAAATTCTTGCAGCTGCTCCGCCCCTCTCTCACAGCCCGAAGTCTCGACAAGACGCATTCTAGTCTCGAGAGGAGAGAAGTAAAGTATCAAAGTATCAAAGTATCTGGCGCAAGACGAGCTGATTTGTTTAGTCTAGCATGGGAGAGGCCCTCCGGTGCGAAAATGCCGATGCTTTCGGCAACGAGCTCCGGTTCGCCCTGTTTCAGCTGAGCATTCTGATTTGCCTGCCAGAGCTCTAAATTCTGCGAGAGAGCTTTTGCTCGTTAGCTCCCTGCAGCTGGTCATGCTCGCCAGCGGGAAAAGGTCGGGGTTGCAAGCCAGGGATCCATCGTTCCTTGGGAGTTCAACCAACAGCTGGGGGGAAACATGGGAGCTTAGGACCCCGGCAGCAGAGATCCGTCGCATTATTCTTCTTGTCGCCCATGATTACGCAAGAAGGAGGGAGAGCCGTCAAGTGATGTCGTCGTGCTCGATCGCCTGCCGTCGTGCTCGATGGACGCCCACGATCTCACCACGCGGCCATCACTCTCACTCTCTCTCTCGAGACTATCGAATCTTCCGTCTTGCTTCCACGAATCGCTCATGATCTCCCAAATTTGCGTCCCCAGCCCTTCACCCCAGGCGATTGGCGCAAAACACCCTGCTCCGAGCCAATAGCCAGATGGGAGTGTGCAGTCTCAGCCCCCTCGCCAGCCGATTCTGCTGAGAGTTCGACACTAGAGTTGAAGAAACGCAAAACAACAATCAACGTCTCAGCCTTGGAGGCGAAAAGGATAAAAAGAATAAAAAAAAATCTCCTGTGGAGCTCCGATCCCGCTGTCGTCCCCCCCTGCTTGCATGATGCGCGGCATTTCGATAGGAGTTGACAGGCTGTCCTCTCATGCTTTCGTCTTGAAACAAATCGCATTTTTGAAGCCTTGTGCGAGGTGGAGTGATCGCGGGAAAGTGGATTTGGCTAAATCTCCGAAGATCGATTTGTGGCCCTTTTGCTTCTGCTGATCGGCGTTTGTCTTGTTTTATTTCTTTTTCAGGCATCAGAGTTGGGCAGCGAAGATTTACGAATAAGAGGATGAATCGGTTTCAGGCTTCCTGTCCTGAGCCAAAGAATTTGCAAAAAAGATTAAAACGATTAGTATTCTACTCCTGAAGAATAACCACCATCCAAACGGGAATAACCCGGGGTGAAGACGGGGCCATAGAATCCCCCCAAAAAGAGGAAGAAAAGCAAGCAAGTCTTTGCAGTCACACTGGAGGATATCATGCTGCGAAAAATGGACCGTAGCAAAAATCTGTAAAGAAGAACGCCGCCGACAAGAGACCCAGTCCACCACTGCCAAAAAACACCCTCCAATTCTGTAAAACTAAAAATAAATCGCTCAAGAAAATGGGAATAACAAAAAGGAAAGTAATCAAACCGGTCTAACAATTAAAGATGATATTGTCAAACTGCCCAGCTTCCCCTGGGTCTCACGCCCCAGGCCTCGAGGCCGGATTCTGGGGTCGTCGACCTGGGCTGCTTGCGGGCCCATTCGTGGATGTACAGCTTCAACGCCGCCCACCGCTTGCACCTGGCGTCTTCACCTTTGCTGGAAGAACCTTCAGGCGCACCGAGATACCCTTTTGCATTGGCACGGTAGTCGTCGCTTCGAAGCTCTTCCACGGAGATTCCAGTGACCGAGCTGATTTCTACGTCGTAATCGCGTGCGAGACAAGGATAGCCCAGAGAGAGGTAGTTGTAGATCTGTGTCACAAAAGCATCATCAAATTCTTGCAGAATACTTTCTTCCAGCGCTTCTTCGTCTTCATCTATGGGCCTTGGTGGTGTGGATACAGATTTGGCATCCGGGACGGCAAGAGTGGCACGAGAGACGCTGGAGAGAATTGCAGGTTCTTCACAAATCTTCTCACCCGATTGCGGTTTGCACAAAGTGACTCTGGGGGAGGGGAGGGGAGTCAATGCATCCGTCTCACTAGGCCTTTTGCAGGTCCCATTCCAGAGGCCAAGTTCTTCGCATACATCGACATGAACCTCTGGAGTCCACAACGGGCTCATGTGTTGTTCCAGCCCCTCGCCATTTTCGTGTTGATGAGAAGTCGAACCTTGATCGGTCTCACACCTTGTGGTTTGTGGAGACTCACATTGAGGGAAAATGATATCGTCGCCCAACATTGGAGGGCGTACAGCACGCCGCTTGTTTGCTGAATCGGCGCCTTTTTGCCTGGGGATAGTGCCATGAGGGATACCATCAAATATATTGGCGCCATCCATCGCTCTCTTAGCTGCCAGTGCAGCAGCAGAGAACGGCGATGGTGCGGAAGCAAATACCCTCTCCCTCGCTCGCATCTCCGACTCTTCCTTGTGCCGCCTCATCTCTTCAAGTTCCCATGTTAGATCCACACTGGATTCCCGCCGAAACCTTGCCAAGTCAAGAGTCATGCTCCTCAATGTAGTCTCCACGCTACTATCCTCGTCCGCCGTATCATCTTCATCCTCTCTGTCAATCGCGAAATGGGAAACTGTTTGGTACACCTGCTCATTAGGAAAGGCTGCAAGGGCGCGTTCTTGCAATAGCTTTTCTCGTGTCCGGGCAGGCAAAGAGTAAAAGTCGACGTCTATAAAGGCTTCATGGGAACTATCTCGGGATGGGTCGTTGGGGTTATTCGAAGGGTGGGAGGAGTTTCCATCCGTGATAAATGTAGGGGAGGTTGAAAACGAGGAGACGGGAGAAGGGAGGGATTCGTCGCTACTGCTAGACGGTATCGCCGGAAGGTCAGGAACTCGGAATGAATGCCGTCTGCTCTCCTGGCGACGGACAAGGTTTGCATAGGAGAACCGGGAGTCCTCCTCATGCTCCGGGCGTGGATTCAGTGGGCCACTCCATCCTGCAACGCGGATCCGATTTCGGCTCTGCGGTAGGTTGGACGGGCTGCCTGGTCGACTTTGTCGAAAAGAGCGTTTTGCGGTCTCGATGAGTTGAGGGGTGAATTTCTTCGGGGCGGTGACGGGGCCGGGGATGGTGGCAGTTCGTACGCTGCTGCCTTCAATTTGATTAGGAAATTTAACCGACTTCCCACCACGATGTTCTTTGGTTGTTTCAATTAGCTGTGGTTTTATCCGGTCTCGAGTTTGCGGCCTGCCAGCGTTGTCAGGGCTTTTGTCCGATGATTTACGGCTGCTCGACTCGAGAAGCTGAGGAGCGAACCGTCGCTTGGGCGGGTTTGCTGCTAGGCCTGACTCGTGAGTCTGGGTAGGGAGGTCTCCTAGTATTGTTGACTTGTCCATGATATTCAGCAAAACGGGAGCTTCCGTCTCCTCCAACGTCGGTCGTAATCCTCTAAGGCTCGAATGGGCGAGTTGCCAACGAAATCGACGGTAGGCAGGAGGCAGTGGTAATCACAGTGACGTCGCCGGCGAACATCCTTGAGTCCCATCAGATCCCCCAAAGTCGAGGAGAGGAGGGATCTTGCTTCTGCTGTCACGGTCGAAACAACAGGATCATTTGCTGGCATCGACCCACACGAAACTTGGAAGACGGTGAGCGATTGCACCAAGTCGTAAAAAGGAATAATAACTCCGTGGAACGACCGACAAGTCCGCTCGCTGCATGAACGAGAACAGACCAGGCAAAGAGAACAAGGCTGATAGAGAGGCGAGGGAATAAAGAGAAGACCAGGCGTGAAGCTCCTTTTCAGCGTTTTGGGGTAAGCTTTGGAGACCCTCTTTTAAAAACAGGGATGCTAAGAATAAATCACTCACCATCAATGTACCCCACCTGCAGTTTGGCGCTAGCGGGGACCAAGCCGGATTAGTAATGAGTCGAGCCTGGTCTGTCTTTGTAAGCTAGGCCAGTCTGGGACTAGTGTGGTACGTTTAGTCATCTCGTCGCGGCAAACAGAAGAAGAGAAGATCATGAAGAAGATGAAGATGAAGATGAAATAGAGCGTAATAAAGATCGCGTTTCATGGACTCAAGGAGCTAGGAGACCATTGGGCTGGCATATCAAACGTGTCAGCGCAAGTTGGGCCGAAACTGAAAGACAATTGAGATTACGGATAGGATCAGCCTTAATCTTTTTTAAGCTGAGATTCAAGTTTATTCTCGTCTGAAGAGCCAGACAGTTTAGATTGGTGGAAAAGAGGATTCAAGCCTGGGGATCCCTTTGCCTGTTGATTTTCAGGCTCCCGGGTCTAAACAACCTTAATACCTAACCTTGCGCATGCAATTTTAGACATGGCTTATGCAGCAAAACGCTTCACCAACCTATTTCAATTGTAATTTTAAAGCTATAGAGGTTTATATTGGGTCAAGGGCACATAGTCAATCGGAGGAAATCAGGGATTGAATACCCGTTGTCGACTCCTCACCCCCAAAAGACAACTATAACAACGCCATTCGGACGTAAAACAAAAATTCGCCGCCAGAATAAGTACTTCCAACGCGGCTAGGAATCCTTAATCGTCGTCATCATGATCTTCCACTCTCCCCCACGTCGGCTGCTTGTCCTCAAAATGAGGGCTATCGTCAGCATCACCATCAATCCCGCTTCCCTCCGCCTCTGGCGACTTGCTTTCCATATCATCGACCCCCGCAACATTATCAGCATTGTGCAAGCTACTGCTCCGTCTCACCCGCGCATGCACTATTCCGGGAAAAATTCTCTGATCTATTAGAGGCGTAGTCAACGTGGATGGTGAGGGCACCTCTTGCGGAATGGACGCGTTCTGCGCATGTGCCAAAGGGATAGGCGTCACCCATGGCAGTGTCGCATCCCAGCCCTGCTGCTGCTGTGGTGCCGATTGAATATTGCTATTCTGCGGATACTCTGAAAAGGGTATGCTGGTTGGGAGCCGCGCAGAATTTGTTAGAAAGTTCGGGGATGATGCATTACCTGCCGGTCCATACCCGCCCTGGTTCGATGTTAAGGAGGGAAGTGATACGCCTGACGGCCCAGCACCCCCCAGAGAGCCAACTTTGCCAGATAAAGTCGGGGACGCAGCCTGCGTATTCTGCCATTGTTTATTGAGCGCTGCAGTCTTTGGTGTCTGCGGTTGAGTAACTGAACTCAATGCGTATCGCTCAATCCTACCATTGAATGATTAGCAGTGTTACTCCGCCATGTGTTAACCAATGTGAGTATTCTTACAGGCCAAGTTCTCCAAGTAGAGTCTCATATCTAAATGCCTCCCTAATATCAGGGACGTTGGTCTTGGCCATGTTATTGCCCACTACTCCAGGCAGATGGCAGTTTTGACCCAGCCATCTCTGCTTCAGAGATAGCTCAAATCCACTCTGGTCCACAGAATGTTTGGCCAGTTCACACATATCCACCGCGCTAAATTTGTATATCTGCGCAGCGACAGCGTACTCTTCAATCAATGGCTCTTTGGTAAAAGCAAACTGCAGTGGGTCGTCAGTGGACAGCGACACATTTAGGCCTCGCCTAAAAAATGTGGCAAAAGGATTCCTCTCATAGGTCAGGAACAGAGCATTGTTGCTCAACGGGGACATGGCAATCCCAACCTGATCAAGATAGAACAAATATTGCAGCAAAGGGACTTTGCGAAGCAGGATGCCGTGGCTGATGCCTGAACAGCAAAGGAACGCGGATGCAAGATGATCAGGATCACCCGCCTCACCACAGTGAGGTCGCAATACAAAGGTATTGAAACCACGCTGTTTCCGCCAGTGATTCAATGATGCCATGTTCGCAAACATGAAATATATCCAGTAGCTGTACGGTGGGTTCTGTTTGGTGTCCCATTGTTTAGGAATAGGGAATTTCCGGTATAGTCGACGCTCAGCTTTGCTTTCGTCGTCAACGCTGTCAAAACCAACAACTCGCTGTAAGAAGATATGCAATTTTGGATGGCTATTTGGATCTTGGGTCACTTCGAACAGCGGTTGGAAGACATTCTTTATAATGGCCTCGAAATTATCAATGATGCCATTTGACTTGTAGACATCGTAGAGACGTGGAACTTGTATCAACCATCGGATATTGGGCGAAAACAATCTATTATCAACAACCCAGGCGGCGAGCTTATCCCATTCATCCATAGAGCGGCCGTATATAGAGATGCGCCATTCGGCCATCTGATACTTGCTCGACTCCAGATCGGCAATGACTTCTTTAGTAATTTCAGCCAGGTATCGGCCTTTTATATAGTTATCTGTTTTGAGGAAGATCTCTCGTAGACGGGATTCTCCGATAGGATTATATTTGAGGTTGAACTTGTCAAAACGATGGAAACTATCGGTGTGGGCCTGCGATTCGCTTTGTCAGTTATGATATACGAGATAAACTGATAGAACGGCAAAAAACTTACGTGCATGTCAAGGGTATCAATGCTCAAATCGTAGGCTGTGAGATTAATACTTTCGAAGACCTCCCGCAAGGTCAGATGCTTTCCATCTCTAAACAATACAACTTCATCAGGTGATTTCTTCATTTTACTTTTGATGAACCGCAGAAGGTGCTTCTGATTCATGCAAGCTGAATGGTGAACGTGAGTGTCCACCTTTCGGACATTGTAAAAGTCCCTGTGCGGGACTTTCTTGCTGTCAGCTATCTCTTGATACTCGTTCAACAGCGCATGAAGTTGAAACTTCCCTTCCAAATATGAAAGCCGCTTGAAAGCGAAGGACTTGATGGGACCGTCTGTTGAAACATCGAGGGTGGCGTCCAAATCCATATAAAAATCTCTCAGCGAAGGGACTTGGACGGTCGGTTGATTCAATTCACGGGCTTCGGCAGACTCGTATACTTGATAAACACTAGTATCATCCAATTTGAATGTCATAGATGACGATTCTGGCAATGGCAAGAGATCGCCCATATCAAAATCCTCACCGATGTTTTGCCCTGGCTTCCTCTTTTTGCGGACTTGAGTTGGACCACTATCATTTTCAGGCCCGGTATTCTTGGGAGGCATCACCATACTATTCGACATGCTATTGGCGCCCGTTGGCTCCCCAAGTTCTCCCCAAGCCGGCTCTGGAGGCGGAGGGTAAACATTCCAGCCTGGTTCATCCCTTGGGTTATCGCCCAGTCTCTGTAGCGACGATCTCATATATTTATGTCGAGTGTCCAGCAACGACTGAATCTTGTGGCAAATCACACTCAGCTCAGCCGTTATCGCATCGTCACTGGGTGACAAACCCTCCGGCTCCTTTGACCAACCCCAAATCCGGCGCCAGCACCATGTATTCCCTGCGAAGAGAGTAAACGCGATTCAGCTTCATGGGGCGGAGCGGGGTGCAGTGCATGACTACGTGCAGACTGGTCTGCTGCAGCTATACTTTCACTCCGGGGCACATTTGTCGCGAGCGGCACCGAGATCGCATATTGACTAGGCGGTGGGAGGATGTGACCTTGGCTGCTCAGACGCGATGCGGTGCTCGCGGTTCGGGTAGGAGAGTCATATTCCACAGCATTGGATACGGGTATCGTCGACGATCTGGGGAGTAAAGGAGGGCTCTGGGGTAATTCTCCGTCGGCAGGGCGATAGGCCAGCTGGTGGCGCTGGTAGAACAATTTGGCTTCGGCATGGCTCACGGATTTCTCGTACGCATAATCGTAGGTGGCCGTTCGTCGCTGTCGGTCGCGCGGCAGGATGGGCGAAGTCACGCTGTTTGAAGGGTCATTCTCGCTTGAAGGGCCGTCCATGCTTTCGTCAGAGTGTTCGGCGCCGTTGCCCGCAGGGTCGAAGGGACTGTGAGCCGGTGGTGTTGAGGTTCCGTTATTCGTCTCATCAACATCGGACGCGTCCAAGTGAGGAGGGGCCATTGTCGAGTGGGACGCAAATCAAGGGCTTGGCCTCAACCTGCTATTTACTGCCAAACAAAATCACAATCGAGGAATATGGAATAAAGATGCACGACTACCCTCAAAGACGAAGAGATGAAGCTCACACCCAGCCCGAGTCACGACGCTCGGTTTGGTGGCGTCTTTTTAAGTTACGCAGGTTTAAGGGCCAGGCACAAGACAAGCGCTGTATCGGTGATCCTGCCCAGGACGACGGAGCTCGCCGATGGTCGCTGACATGGCAAATTTCCAACAATTCGGCCAAATCGTAGTACGAGATGGGTGATGCCGTGTCACATTTACACTATCGGCACTTGGACAAGGCTTGGAATCATCATCACCATGTTCAAGCTTGTGGTGCTCGCTGGCTGTGATCCAATGCTTGAGAATGATTTCGACATTTGGCAACACTGTGCCCTAGCCTGAGTTGGCAGAAGCCTTTGAGAGCAATACTTGATAGAGGATCGAAAATCTTGCCATGGGAGCTATTTCAACAGGGCAGCTTATTACTAGACCATTAAGTACATACCAGAGCGGGAAAAGCGCAAGTCAAACAAAGACACAAACTTGATAATAATACACGTTTTGATATTAGTATTATCAGCACATGAACATGGAATATTCCCGGCGAAAGGCCCAAGAACGAGAACCGGAGATATATGGATCGAAAAAGAACTCAGGAACACCGAAAAAGAAGATACACCAGCACGCTGTTTCGTTGCAAGTTTGCAATCGTATTCCATTTCCACGCTCTGTCAGCCACAGTTTGGGTTGCAAATCTTTCGATTTGCTCTGTGATGGCGGGAATAGCAAAAGAGGAATAGAAAGAGACAGATAGCGGCACCGGGAGGAGAATTGGCCGAAGTACCACGCAGCTTCGTGACAAGCCCGCACGGCAATGGCACAAAGCATGGAAGAATACAAGAAAGCGAAGCCTTCCGTAGTACATGTTCCCCGGCGATAGCCGACGACAAAATAACAAAAGATGAGAACATCTTTCCCCCACACGCTGGGAAGATCAATGGCTAGCAGACACGAGAAACCTTTTTGTACAGAACGAGTTCTGTCTTAGCGACTCATAACGGAATTAAAATCTGCCCAAAGAAATAAATTGGTAAAAGTGAGGCCCAGGAAGGATCTGAAAGCTGGAGCCCTTGGTGTACTGATACGAGGTAAAATGAGAATGACTAGTGCTTTCTTGATCACGTATGTAGGACCAAGAATAGCGTCCTTTAACGGTACCGAGCGCGGCGTGGTACAGGTCCAGGCGCTTCAGTATGTCGAGGAATCGTCTCTGGAGGGTAATACTGTCCTGGCTCGTCGTAAATGGGTTGGCGTCGATACTCCATTTCATAGTCAACGTACTCCTTGGGAGCTTCCCGGTGAATAGGGCGCTCGATATAGTACGTCGTAGGATTTTGGGGTTCACGACCGCTTACTCGAACAGGGATGTATTCAACCGCTCCATCGTACGGCCTCTCCGCGTATCTAGAGTCCTCCATGTATTGGTAAGGTGGTTGATGGGGTAGACGTGTATATGGACCCTGTTGTTCGAGCGGGACGCGATCGTAGTACGTTTCACTGGGAGGATAATCTGAATAAACTGGTCGTCTACCCCGTTCTCTCGGACTTCGGTCACGATAGAATGGTGCTTCAATTTGGAGGGTATCCTGGACTGCAGGGGATCGGGACCGAGGACGAAGCGATTCTTGCCTTTGAGCTTCATACCTATCAAATCTGCTATGAGGACGCCGTGCATAGTGATCGGGTTGGTGACGGGAATCTGAATAGGCAACAGCTCGTCTTCCGTTGCGTGCTTCTCCAGGGTCGGGCGGTGTTATTCCACCGCGTCGGACGCTGCCTGTACTATGGTCAGGCGGCTCGAAGCGTTGTTCAAAATCACGATAGCCGCGAATCGTAGAAGGACTATTCGTTCGCGCGCCCCAGTTGGGTCTCCCACCTCGAGGTACGTCGCCCACGACGCTACCCTCCGCAGTCCCACCAGCATCGGTCCGCCAGCGACGTTCGTCCCCATCTTCAAGGTCAAGCCATTTGGCCCTGGACTGATCATTGGACCGATCTACGTCACCCGTCGCAGGCTTGTAATCTTCTAGATCTTGGCCGGGGACGAAACTGCTGAGGAAGCGTTCGGCGGCACTGAGTTCTTCCACCGGAGAATTCGGTTTGGTCTGCCCACTTTTACTATGCACAGGTTCAGGCACTTCGCCATCCTCTGACACATTTCGGGTATGTGTTACAGGGCGCTCAGTATCTCCACTCGTGTCACCAATAATCCCAGTAGCCACTCCAATGTCATTTAAACTGGCCTTTGAGCCCCTAGTAATGGGGCGATGCGTGAGTCTTGCAGCGTCAGTGTGAGGCTCAGAACTAGGTGGCTCAGCTGGTGGTCCAGCATGGCCTGGGTCATTCAAACGCGCATCTTGAATAGGAGCCGTTAGGATAGCTTTGGGGCGTGCACGGCGACTATCAAACCGGCCATACTGATCTCGCGGCGGATCGATAAATGCAGGTCGGTGGGGGTCATATTCACTGTCTTTCGGAGGTTCAAGAGGCTTGACGCCTTCGCCCAACGGGGACTCGATAAACTTGGGGAAATCGTCTACAGCCACCTCTAACTGGCTGTGATGACCTTCTGGTAAACTGGGGTTAGGCTCAGCAGCACGAGACTCGTATTTGATACGTGGTTGACCTCGGCCAACACCTCGGTGTTCTTTCTTTAAAGGAGGCCGATCATCTTTGGGGGCGGTGTTAATTGGGGCATTCGGCATCTTAGATCCAAATACCCATGGGAACGCCGCCATGACCAAGTGAAATTTTGCCTGGTCCATACCCGGGGTCTGATTCAAAGAGGAGATAACGGAATCATCGGGTAAGGCCACCATTTGTGTTTTCCAATCTGGTGGCGGGTCGTCTCTAGCCAAGTGTACCGAGAGAAAATGGCTTACAACGGCAGGTAAGGTAAAAGGTTTACGATCGTGCCCACGACCGCGTCGTCCGTGGGATGAATTGGGATTTGAACACGATTTGCAAACTAACCCGCATAAATTCCTAATGGGTTTCATCTGTGGGTGTGCACTGAGAGCGTCCGAAATGAGCGCAAGAGGCGGGTCGTGGTTATAACGCTCTGCAAATCGAGCAGCCACGTGGTGCAGCAAAACATGAGCTCTAACATTGTGAGGAAGATCTTTGATTCCAGAAGTGCCGTTCCAAATAGCCCGAGCATTTTTCGCAAGCTCGTCCACCTGAGATTGATAGAACCCGAAAGCCTGACTATTAGGATTCGATTTGTGTGGGTTTGAAGGTGCAGCTCCCGGGCGTTGGGCAAGGGGATTTCCGCTAAATGGCGCACCAAATGGTGGAATATGAGGGTGTGGCCCATAATGAGTAGGGTAAGGCGCTGGTGGCACTGGTGCTCTCGCATCAGGGCCAGGATATGGCGGAGGGTATCCTGGGCCAGGGTAAGGAGAGCCATAAACCGGGGGTGGTTGGGCATGTGGATCGTAGGGACCATTGGGAGGATAGCCAGGCTGCGGAGCACTGAATGCGTAGCTTCCTGGCTGGGGAGGATAGTATTGTGAGCCCGCAGGAGAGGGTGGGCGGTAGGGACCTGTTCCGTAAGCATATGGAGTACCATACGGTGTCCTCCTATACGGTGCCGGAGACATCTGTGGATAAGTATCCGGGGCAATTGGGTTTGCTTGATAGCCGTGATTCGGCTGGCCCATGGTTGGCCGAGGCATTGCGAACATTAGAGCTCTCGCTGCGTTCGGGTTGGGATGGAACGGGGGATTTTCAGGCCACTCAGCGCGCCAGTGCACGACGACACTTCCCAAACTGAGCACACTTGTATGTTTTGCTGCATAATGCTGCACAACTCCTTCGAAACCGTAGTACTTGGAATTGTTCTCGCAGCCATTGCAGAGAAACAATTCTTTCTGGTGTGGGTCCGTGAGAGGCTTGATTTTCTGGTCAAATATCCATTTCATATTCTCGAGGATGAGCTTTCGTTTAGGTGGCGCACCAGGACGGTCTTCCTCAATCGCGTTGCCAAGGCTACGTGCCAGAGCGTCTTCCTTCACAAGGTCGCTATAAAACTTATTGCGAACATACATCAGCACATCGGCGGCAAATTTGGGGCATTTGTCCTTGGTAACTCCATCGCCATCTCGCCAACCTTCACGGATTATCTCGTCTGCATATGTTGCCATGCGTTCACGGATGGGTTTCTGAACCTCGTCCCACTCTTTATCAAGCAAGTCTTTGGCTTCCTTAAGCTGAGCTTCTTGCTGTCGTCGCTCTTCCGATTTTGCTTGCAGGATCTTATCTTGCTTGACACGCTCCAATTCGCGACGCTCAGCAACCTCCCTTTGAGCCAGCAAACGTGGCTTCAATATATCCCAATCTCGATCCGTAAACGGATGCGGGATCTGGATAGCAGCTTGGAAAGAGTCCATATGGCCTAAAACTGATGCGCTCAATGGTGGGTCAAGTTCTGCACACCTGCGTTCAATTTCTGCTCTCCTGTTGGACTTTGCCTCGTTAACCTCTCGAATACTGCGCTCTGACCTGTGATGCGAGGATGCTGGCACAGAATTGCTAAGTGTTTTGACTGCAGCAGGAGTCAGTGTGCGCGAAGAAGAAAAGTGTTTGCACAATAAATTTTAACAGCGCGTCGCGTGGTTGACTTGTATGTTCCAACCATTAGGAGTATTTTTCAAGGGAAAAAAACGTCGGAAAGTTCCAGTATTACAGAAGAAACAGCAAAAGAAAACGGCTATTTGCCGGGTATCCAGAAGGGTAAAAAGTAGCTAGGATTTCGCTTACCATGTGTATTTGAAGACAAAGAAGGTCGTCCACGACGATGCGGAAAGTTACCGCTGGGAGGGCTTGAAACTCCTGAATTAGATCCAATGGTGCTGGAGCTCTGGCCACCAGATTCGACATAATCCACGCTAGGCCGCCCGGACTGAAAGGTATTGGCGGTCCGCACGGAGCGAAGGCCTCCTGTCAGTTCCCATTGTTCCCACCTGGCTGAATCTGCAATTTTTTCCTTCCCGTTCCCTTCTAAGCCTTTGACCCATTCCTCCGCGGTTGCGGATCCGAGCGTCTTTACTTCCTCGAATTTAGCTCTCATCGCCTCGATATGGGATTTGAGGTAAAATTTTGTTAAACTCAAGCCCGTTGGGGGCTGATTTGACCGGAGGACGACGGAAGAGACGAAATTCATTGAAGGCGTGAAAAAAGCGAATGGAATAGCAGGAACAAGGAGAGTGGGCAACGTAGAAGAGAAGAGAAGATCCATTTCCTAGGTGCTCATTAGCTTCAATAATCAACCAGCCGCGATGCTATTTCAGGGCGGTGCTAACCTTTTCACAGTTATTTTGAATGCATTCTGCACAAAGTCGGGCAGCGAAGGGCCAAATAATTCGTATTCCAGTAGGTCCCGGGCCACCTTCCCACATGGAAGTTTCGGACGAAGAAATAAAACCAGCTTTTTTGCAAAACTGGCAGGCAGTTCCGCGAACAAGCCGCCACATATCCAGCTCAGATAGAGTTGAAAGGGGGCGTGGCATACCAGGATGAAAGGTCTTTCGAGATGAAGACCAAATGTAGTTTGGATGAACATATTTCAATGAACGAGGAGTTGCGCCTTTAGCAGACAACTCTGTTAAGTCTGCAGTAAGCAGCTCCTTAAAGGCACGATTGACTTGCAGAACACAGCCAAGGGACGTGGGTGGAAGAAATGTAAAAATATATTGCCAAATTTCTCCTGGAAGTTTTATTTTATCAAGAAAATGGTCACGCACTTCGGAAGTGGCCACATTGAACCTAGCACGCTTGTTCCGGCTTGATGGCGAAAGGCCGGTAGGGAACTGAGAACCATCTTCGGTCCTATTAAAACCGCCGTTTTCCATATGAGGCACTAGGTCTTCTTGCGATAGTCGGTCCTCGCGTTTCCTTTTTCGAAATTGATGGTCATCCTGTTCTGGGAATGGAACGTTATCTCGACTCGATGGCTCATGAAAACCTCCCGGAATGGAGGAAGATGATTCATTATTATAAGGAGTCGCCTGGGAATCAAAAGACCGGGGATCTCGGCTCAAATTCCCGGTTAGATTGTCCATCGGGCCTTCTGGGGAATCCGCCGAATACGGATCGAAAGAAGAACCCGAGCTGCTAGGAGATCCGGCACGATCTGTCATTGTTCGGTAGGGTGCCTGCAGGGCGGCAAGTGTACTGGATCAGAGACCCAAGTTCTTGACGAAAGTCGGATCTGACCACCCTCCAGGGAGGGTCTTTGGCTCTAGAAAGGAAACACAAGAAATATAACGCAAATTCAAGCGGGAAAATAGCACATTGGATAATCCGGCCCCTGGGTTTAGAAGCTAGACTTGCGGAAATAGACGACGTGAGGACAAGCTGGATGGGTTCGAGTACTACTCGTATATAGCCCTCGAAACCGCCCAGAGAGGCGGGAAACTGGGCAAGAATTCAGCGTCGTTGCTGCCAATGGCTTGATAGGAAACCAAGAAAAGGCGGCAACAGGATAATACTGATATGTGCAGCTGAAGAGAACTCTGGAAAGCGAAAAATAGAGAAATTTGAAAATTCACAATCTGGCAGACACGTCGGGCAAGTGAAAACACTCGAAAGAAACAGCAACCACACAGCAACAGGTAAGTAGACTACCTTGCTCGACCACGCACTGATAAAAGGAAACTTGAAGCTCGAAGAGAGACAACACTGGTGATGGGAGACGGGAGAGTCGATGGAAGAGCGACGTGTCAGGAAGAAATCAGGAAGCTGGCGTGTGGAGGGGTTGCGACGAAAACTGCGTGTTATGGGCGAGTGTGGCGCCACGGCTCGCTTGTCCTACGAGAGCCAATTAGAATGCTACAAATACTGAGTCATAGCATCACATGACAGCTTGGTCACCGAATCAGAGGCACGGAGGCAAGCCACTGCACTTAGTCATCGACTTGTGGCTGGGATGGTAAAACAGCGGCATATATGGCCGAATCAAGGCTAGTGCGCCCACTTGTTACGTAACGCTTGTTGACTGCGGCTCGAACCATGCGTATTGTATCCCAGCTGCTCCAACCACTGCTCCTTGAGATCAGGATATCAAACAGGGACCGTTGACTATCATCTACTACGAGATTAACCGCATCTGCCTGCCGGCATCCTACTTCCTACTGAGCCGGCAACCTGTTTGATCGCGGCAGTTTGGGTGAGTATTCGACGGGTTAACCTCCCCCGAAACCAACTTCAATCCAGTGGTTGATCCGTGAAGCATCCCGCAGTTCCTCGCTCCCGTTGTCTAGGACGCCCGTCCCGCCCCCTAATCAACCATGGCCACTCTCAACCTATCAACAAATGGGCATTCGATAACTAAAAGCTACCAGTCCGTTGTGACCGCCCCTGCACCCTCAGGCCCCGCCGCAGAATCTGGCACCTACGGACAGTGGGCAGTGTTCACTGTCTCCGCTCCCCTTGCGAGCGCATTTCAGGACACTTCAACCAAGGAGAGTGTTCTAAAAGTTCACACCACAGGAGGTTCGTTGTGTCAATTGGTCCGACATCATGGCTCTGTTTGGCACTGACGGTTTTGGATACAGAGGGAGAGTTGATAGATCTTATCGAGGAGTTCTCCGAAGGAAGGATCCAATTCGCTTTTGTGAAAGTGAAAGACCCAAATACGGCTCTACCAAAGAATGTCCTTATCGCATGGTGTGGGGAAGGTGTTCCAGAGCGAACAAAGGGCTATTTCACAAGCCATCTCGCTGCCGTTTCAAAAGTTTTGCATGTATGTAAACCCGTGGCATGGTATACAGTTTGACGTCTACTTACAAAAGCTAGGGTTATCATGTTCAGATAACTGCCCGATCAGACCGGGACCTTACCCCCGAAAGCATTATTCAAAAGGTCGCTGATTCCTCAGGAGCGAAGTATTCAGCCGCCACAACAGCTCCTCCTGTTGTTGCCGCCTCCAAACCACCAGTTGCTTCAAAGCCGGCATTCACACCCACTCGCACTGGCGGTTCTTTTAGACCCCTAACAAGTTCGCGTCGAACTGCAGGTGTGCAGAAAGAGGCTGTAGATGAAGACGGATGGGGCGCAGATGCGCCTCCCGTGACCAGGTCTCAGTTAGAAAAAGTACAATCAGCTTATCAGCCAACCAAAGTCAACATGAAAGAGCTCATGTCGCAGCAATCATCAACGTCATTTTCGAGCTCCGGGCCGCCTAAAAATGATGTACCTAGCAATGTTGTCAGGGGAGGGTACCAACCAGTCGGAAAGGTAAACATTGCCGAAATCAGAAAACAGGCACGAGAGTCCGGCCAGATCAGGGATGACCGTCCTGAGCCAGTAAAGGGCGCTTATCAGCCTGTTGGAAAGGTTGATATTGCTGCCATTAGGGCCAAATCTCAAGGCGGAGAGCCTACGATGTCACCACCAAGCAGGGTCTCTCCTGCGGCTACTGGAGGTTCTGCTCCTGGTGATGAACCAAAGTCACTTGCTGAACGTTCAGCTGCTTTTACGCCCTCGGAAAGGCTCACAGCCCTCCCTAAACCCAAAGTCGGAAAGGGATTCGGTAGAGGCGGGGCATTCGCCGGCACGAAGGCGCCTCTTCCTGGCGGATTTGACACAAACACCGTGGCTACTGTTCCAGTGGTAGGAAGTGCCAGTCGAACTTTTGCTGACGTGGGTGGTAAGACTCCCGCTCAATTGTGGGCCGAAAAGAAAGCGAAGCAAGGCGGGGCCGCTCCTAGCCCACCAATAATCACCAGTCCGGCTCCTCTCCAGAGCCAAACTAGCGGAGAAGGCGGCTGGAAAAGCTCTTATAGCGGCAAAACTTGGGCTCCGGTTCAGGTTACCCATACCGGACGGTCGTCCGGGACGGGGGTTTCAGAACAAAAGACCGGCGAGTTGGAAAGGGAAAGGGAATCTGCGGAATCTGGCAATTTTGGCTCGATCCGGGATCGATTTGCAAATACACAACCCATGGGTGCTCCAGTCCCTGTTTCAACCTACGAGAGAGCAGCCCCATCTCCACCGCTGACCACCGATACCAAACCAAGCCCACCGCGTGCAGTCCCGATCCCTGGCCTTCCAAGCGATACTCACGAGAGCCACGAAGACGTTCACCAGGAAGTGCCTCCCCCTCCTCCACAACGACGTTCCCCGTCCCCGGAGCCACCCGCCGATATTCCGCCCAGTTCACCAATTCGTGTAGCCATGCCAGTCGGCCGAGGTTCACCAGAGGAACATGTCACCGATGCTCACACGGAACAGTTCTCGCCCCCTACCCCGTTGCCAACCAGATCTATTGTAGAACACGCTCCAAAGGAGGAAGAAATTGAAGCTCAACCACCGCACGATCCAGCTAGAGCTGTTGCGGAAGCCACCACAGCTGGCCATGGACTCCCTAAAACGGGTGATGGCATTCGTGCACTCGTACAATATGACTATGAGAAGGCAGAAGACAACGAGATCGAGCTCCGCGAAGGAGAATACGTCACTAATATTGACATGATCGACGAGGATTGGTGGGTGGGTGTCAATGCTAGAGGGGAACAAGGCCTGTTTCCAAGAAACTATGTCGAAGTGGTCGAGGATAGTGCCGCAGGGCATGAGCAAGCCGCAAGCAGCGCCGTGGGAAATGCCCCCCTACCTGAGCCGACCCAACAAGCTCCACACGAGCCCTCCAGGAGCCAGCGCCCTACGGCAACAGCATTATACGATTATGAAGCGGGAGAAGATAACGAGATCGGGTTCCCAGAGGGTGCTAAAATTATCAATATTGTAAGTCATCCATTCCCAGTCCTTGTTACGTTAGGATATTTCCTTTTTGGCGAGCGATTTGGAATTCGCATACCTTTACTACCTCTCGTTCGTACTTTGTGACACATGGTCGAATGCCCACTTACAGTCTCGACGCAGGAATTTCCCGATGAGGACTGGTGGCATGGCGAATATCACGGCAAAAGTGGCCTCTTCCCCGCTAACTACGTCGAACTCGATGAGTAAATGGATGTTTGTGGCTCAGCGCACCATATCCCCACCTATCATGATTTTTCTCGGCTCGAAACGATAACAAAATCTTTATTCGCGGGATGCCATATATTAGCACGCATTAACTTTGGATGTCTGGCTCCCATAGTTGATGCTTCGGACGGCTCGTATTCTTTGCCATTTTCCAGTTTGATGTCAATATTGAAAATTGCTCGTTTTTCCACCTGAAATACTATGGCCATTAGAAATTATAACCTGAATGAGTACAAAATGCAAAACTCATTACAAAACTTCCTTTCTGCCCCAGGTTTCTATATTGATATCCACTTAGCCCGTATAGAATCCTATATATTACAAAAGACAGTCGAGATATCCTTCATCTTCATACTTCGGGGTTTATGTTTGAGCCCTAGAGCTCCCCAAAAAGTCTAACTCACTCATGTTGAGCGAAAAAGAAGTTTGCTGCAACTACCTCTAAGTCATACCGTGACGCCCACTGTCGAACACCATGTCTCTCTTTCCCATAGCCCCAATGCTTCCGTTCCTTAGGCGCCTGCAGCTGCCCAATTTTGTCTGCATCGCCTTTTAGCAGGACAAACACGTACCGGTGATACCCAGTGCCAGCGGGTGGACTCGGCGGCATGTACTTCTCCAGGGTCTTTCCGGCGGAAGCACCGCCAGTTCCTGGACCGGACACGTCTGCGATGACCCAGTGGCAGAATTCGCTCCAGATTGGTTCTTCCCGACTTTTGGCGTCTGGGTCGGTGAGGACAAGACTATAGGCTTTGTTGGATTCGCTGCCTGTGGAAGGGGAGATGGGGTGGAATTCGTAGGTGGGCGTGTCCTGGGCTTTGCTGGTGGGGATGCGGGTACCGAGTTTTATTTCGGTGGATGGGTAGGAGATTTTGAGATTGAATTTGGGCTGGAAGTCGTCCAAGACTGTGAAGGGGGATGAGACTTTAGCTGGAGTTCATCTTGTGATGGGGTATGGTGACTGACCATCTGAGATGATGCCATTGGAGCGCAAACTAGTAGGTATTTAGTTAGCACCATATCATATGACAGTTTATCATTTGACTTCAAAGAGAGATGGGATGTTGTAGAAGCTCACGCTTCACGGATCTCAGCAGCCATATTAGACTTGGAAACCAACGACCTCCTGGTGGATTGAGACGTAGCAGATTTCAGGCTGAGTGATGAAATGGTAGCTGGCCTGGCCGCTTTGCAAATAAACCGACCAAGAAGAATAATACTCATTGAATTAGCTAATTAGCACTGATCTCCCCAAATCCTTTTGACTGTTGTGACTATGCTGCCGTCGAGATATAGATGTATCCTGCTTTCGCTGAAGAATCGCTGACATCATAGTTTGCTCTGTTTGACTGGCGCACGGACCTTTCAGCTTATCAGCTTATATAAGCCAAATTCACGTGGCGAGGCGGGTCTTGGCATCTGATTCGCGGGCGTCACGTGTCAGTTCGCCTTCAGGTCGACGGCCGGCAAGAGCAAAATCGGCGGCCTAATAAACACCTCCATCGACGGGACTCTGCTCTGTCCTCCATTTCCTCAGCTATCCGGTCAATCTCTGCCTTGTGTGCCCGACGTGTCTGCGGTGCCAATTTCCTGCGGTCGCGGGTTCATGTAGCAGCTGTCCCGCCACAACGTCTGCTAGGCATCTCCTCTGCCCTGTTACAGCCGTATCGCGCCCCCCGGGCATTTCCCCCCCCGAACATTTCATGCTAGCCAGGCCTCGAGGTACTAGAGACTAGCAGCGGCAGACTCTTCAAGATGACGTCCTTGGGAGAAGACTTGCTGTCTACTGTTAATAAGTTGCAGGATTTGGTTTTTAACACCATTGGCAATGATTCCCTCGACTTGCCTCAGATTGTAAGCCGGCACTTGCCAACTCAGTGAGGTCTCAAGGCTTTTGGTTCGTGTGCTAATAACTCCTTTTCCGTAGGTGGTAGTCGGCTCACAGTCCTCCGGAAAATCTTCTGTTCTTGAAAATATTGTTGGAAGAGATTTTCTCCCGCGCGGCAGCGGAATCGTGACCAGGCGTCCCTTAATCCTTCAATTGATCAACATTCCTAGTGACCGTAACGATACATCTGAAAACGATGAAGTCAACATTCCCCATACCGCCGCCTCTGTTGCCGGGCAGGGTGAATGGGCAGAGTTTCACCACCAGCCAGGCAAAAAGTATGAAGATTTTTCGCAAGTCAAACATGAAATTGAAAATGAGACCGCTCGAATTGCAGGAAATAATAAAGGAATAAATCGGCAGCCTATAAATCTGAAGATATTCTCCCCTCACGTTCTCAACCTTACGCTAGTCGACCTCCCCGGGTTGACCAAGGTCCCAATCGGAGATCAACCCTCAGATATTGAGAAACAAACGCGAAACCTGATATCCGAATATATTGCGAAACCCAACAGCATTATTCTCGCTGTATCCCCGGCAAACGTGGATCTCGTTAACTCCGAGGCATTGAAACTCGCCCGCCACGTCGACCCTGTTGGGAAAAGAACGATTGGTGTTTTGACGAAACTTGACTTGATGGACCATGGCACGAATGCGATGGACATTCTTACAGGCCGCGTATATCCGCTGAAGCTGGGTTTCATTGGAGTTGTGAACCGCTCACAACAAGATATCCAAAGCGGGAAACCACTCGCTGATGCTTTGAGCGCAGAAGCTGAATTTTTTAGACACCACCCGGCTTATAGAAACATGGCTATACGGTGTGGCACTCAATATCTGGCAAAAACACTTAACACTACATTGATGGGCCATATCCGTGAAAGGCTACCGGACATCAAAGCTCGCTTGAACACGCTGATGGGACAAACGCAACAGGAGCTTGCCAGCTATGGAAATAAACAGTTCAGCGGAAAGGAACATCGGGGCTCCTTGATTTTACAACTTATGACTCGCTTTGCTTCCTCGTTTATCTCTTCCATCGATGGAACCTCATCTGAAATCTCAACAAAAGAGCTATGTGGCGGTGCACGAATCTACTACATTTTCAACTCTGTGTTTGGAAATTCCCTCGAGACCATAGATCCGACCCAAAACCTCTCGGTACTTGACATTAGAACGGCGATTCGAAATTCGACCGGTCCCAGGCCTAGTCTTTTCGTTCCCGAACTCGCTTTTGATTTACTCGTGAAGCCTCAGATTAAATTACTTGAAATTCCCAGTCAAAGATGCGTGGAACTTGTTTATGAAGAACTTATTAAAATCTGCCATACATGTGGCTCAACCGAGTTATCTAGATTCCCGCGCCTGCAGGCCAAGTTGATTGAAGTTGTCTCGGACCTATTGCGAGAACGACTTGGCCCTTGTTCCAATTATGTGGAATCCCTCATCTCTATCCAACGCGCCTATATCAACACAAATCACCCCAATTTCCTTGGAGCTGCCGCTGCTATGTCATCTGTTATCCAAAGCAAGCAAGAGCAAGAAAAGAAAGCTGCTCTGGCAGAGGATAAACGAAAACGCGACAGAAGGCGGCTCAAAGAGATCGGAGGGGTGAATGGGACTGGTACTCCTGATGAAAATGAAGACCATCACGAGGATGAAAGACCACAGGGGCTCCCACTTCGCGGACATAAGGCCGGAAGAAGTCATTCGCCTCACCTTGGCAATCTCGAAGGCAGCAGGATTTCCTCGTCGCTCAACGGATTCCAGGCGGCTGCTCAGCCAACTGGAGGCCGAGACTCTTTTCTGAACTATTTCTTCGGGAAAGAAGGTGCTCTTCCTGCTCCTGGCCCTGCTCCAGGGGCCTCGCGTCATGTCAGCCATTCCACGGAGCCAAGCTTCAGCCAGAGTTTCCGTCGCAGCGAAATCAGATCGCCCTCCATTTCACACACTTTTCAAGATGAAGCTGCTGCTCCATCTGAATATGGTGATGGGCCATTGCTTGTAAGCTCCCCACCATTTCGCTTTATCCCAATATGAAACTCTTTCACTAACAGGGCACAGAAGGATGATGCCGAGCCGGCTCTTACTGACCGGGAAGCTCTTGAAACGGAGCTTATCCGTCGTTTAATTTCATCCTACTTTAATATTGTTCGCGAAACCATAGCTGATCAGGTTCCAAAAGCCATCATGCATTTATTGGTCAATCACAGCAAGGACGTGGTTCAGAACAGACTGGTCAGTGAACTGTACAAAGAAGATCTTTTCCCCGAGCTTCTGTACGAGGATGATGGGATCAAAGCGGAGCGAGAAAAATGCGAAAAATTGCTCGAAACATACAAGAAAGCGGCAAAAATTGTGGGAGAGGTTTTATAAGGAATTAACTGCATTCTTTTCCCTCTTTCCCTTCCGCTTTTGGCTTGTTTAACTATATCATTCCCTTTTCCTCTTTTAATTCCCACCCTCTTAGCTACGACAGTCCCTATTATTCAAGCTTGGGAATTGGTCCTCTTTTGTCGGCTTCATCTCTTAGCGGTGGGTTTCGATATTTTCCCGGTCTTGTCTTTACTTCATTCTCTGCTTCTCGGCTACAGGCATTGTTTCTCATATGCATTTTCGTTTCTGTTATGCTATATTTGGATGTTTTAAAGACAAGAGTCTCTTTAGAGTGATTCATAAAATGGCCTTCCACCGTTTCCCCCTATTCCATGAATACGATGATGGGTTGGCTTTTCCCAATTTTGAATATATGTATGTATATAGCATGCTTCGTGTATTTGTATAACATTTCCTTTGGACTTGACAAGTGTGGCTCTTTTTCGCCGTTTACTCCGTACTGTGTTGACTTATCCATCAGTGTTTCATGTGCTCAAAGCTCTCTTTGGTTGTTACTTGGTTTTGCGGTCTGACGATTATCCGAAGGCGAGTTGGTACTCGGGAAACATGCTTTCACGCCCATACGATTGTTATCATTCTATTCTCTAAGATCTAAGACGGATATAATGCTCTGTACAGTATGGGCTACCGGACACGACAAAATGCGTCCTGAGTCGAGGTTTATGATGTCTAAAACCCCCCCAATATCCCCGCCCAAAATGTCAAGTCAAGTACTTGGGAACGCCTTAGCCCTTGCCAAAAATTCCCATATCTACTTTTTCTTTCTCTCTTCTTGCTTATTTCGCAGCCTGGTACCCTCCCACGCATAAATCCCACCAGCCAGGAACACGATTGCAGCTCCTGCCATCGCGCCGCGGGACAAATGATTCCCAAATAAATATACGCTCAAGATCAGGCTCACCAGTTTGCGAATATTCAAGACAACGGTCACAGTGAGTGAAGATGATTTCGCACTCAGCAAATAGACGCCACGAATGCAGAGAAATTGAGTTAGTGCGTTCAGAAACAGGTAGGCCAATTTTAACGGAATATGAGAAAGCGTCGAGCGGACGAGAGGGCCGCCTAAAATCGTAACAAGAACTGACCGGGATTGAGACATCACATTTTTCAAGGCCAACGGTGTAGGCGTGTACGCAGGGATCGAACTAGTGATAGCCTTGCTAGGAACTGGACTAGCGAAAGAGTCCGTAGATAGGATAGAGGCGACGCTGGGCGAAGAAGCAAGGATTGACGGTGACGAGAGTAAAGACTTAATTTGTGGGAGAAATTTTGGATATGTAGGCAGCAAGATAAGCAGCGAAAGAGCATGCGAATAAAACAGGCCTTCACGCCAATTATCTCGGCCGTACTTTTGATAGAGCCGATCAGCATAAACGCCCTGAAATGCTGCGAGCACCATCGCCAGCCCCAAAACACCAAATCCAACCAGAGTTCTCATGGGCGAAGCGTCGCTGTCAGTTACTCCGATATTCAGCGATTTGCCTTTTGAACTAGCATCTGCTAGTGCAGATGTGACTACTCCAATTGAAAGCATAGAGACTGCGAAAACCTGAACACGCGTATACCTTTTCGAATTATACAAGTATCCGATTATCATGGATGTCACAGGCCCGCCGCTTCGTATGATAATGTGCAATGGCACGGAAATCTTGAATAAAAAAGCGGAGTTATTCATCAAATTGACGGTCATGAAAAAGGCCGTAAATATGATCCACTCTTTCAATGGAACACCACGCGGTTTGAAAAACATCGAACCAATGCCTGCAGAGAAAGAGAGCACGTTTGGAAGAGTAAGGAGCGAGGTTACGGCGAATTGAGTAAAGGTAATAAGTGCACCTACCTTAAAGTTAGCCCATGAGAACGATATATTGGCCATGCAGTATGATTTGCACTCACCAGCCTGTGGCATATCTCTTCAAAGTAGCAAAGACGTCCATTATCAGCAATCAGGTTCGGAGTACTGGAGCGCTGTTTCTAGCCTTGACTCACCTAACAATCGCTTCTAGTGTGAAGACCTAGCCACAGAGAGCCAATTAGTCCTAAAATCGAATGTACACCACGTAAATCACTCACATTTGCGCAACATCCACCAAAAATAAGAGCCATCATGAACCCTATATTCAGCCATGCGGGGACAGTCGCATGCGCAACCGCACTTGCAATGCTTGCCACCCCCTCCGGGCCTTTTGTCTCTCTAGAGCGTGGTGTCGTATCCCGCTTTACGCCATGCATGGAGCCATTGGGCTGAGTAGTGCCGTGGAGAGCATCCAATGAATCATTCCCCGGAGGGTGATTCTCTATGGATTCTGAGATTTGCTGTGTCCTGCGGTGCCTTGTGCGATCCAAACCATCTGTCGCGCTGGACATTTTGGGCTAAACCGGGCTCATGCAGTGGCAGACAGTATGCTTAGGCTTGTTTTCTTGCTGATTGCTCGGGGCACTTTTGCTAGCGGAGGACGGGCGTGGGACAAGACGAGGTAGAAAGCAACAGCCCGTGACGCAGTGAAATTAATGGTGGCTGGTACAAGGAGTAGAATTAGCACCAGGCTGGTGGCCAAACATTAACTGCTCTCCATAGTCGGTAGACTTGATCGCGCTGAATGCAAGTCAACTCGCGTCGCGAGGAGTCACCAGGAAGTTGAGGTTATGCTGAGTCAGCCCCTTCATGAGGTGCTAACAAACACTACGAGAATACGTTGGATTCATCAAAATCAATACGAAGATAGTCTTGGAGTTTGAATTGCATGTGGGAAGCCCTAAGGCGCGAGTTATACCATTGTTGAACAGCTATGCTTTTGAAAGCTTTCCAGGGGTACTGCGATCATCCAAAACCGAGAATAAACCTCAGGTGCTCATATCCAGAGAATATCAAAATAATCGGATAAACAACCCGCTCAATCTTCAATATCGTCATCACTAAGAACCAATTTTGCTTCTCCGTCCTCAACCTGAGGCGCTGTCTCTCGAACCCGTAAAGCCGGGGGACGCGGTGGCGGTGGCATCCTATTTGATATGCCCCTTTTCTGTGGGGACTGGGGCATAGGGTCTGTGGCCCAATGTTCCACTTCTAAATCTTCAAGTACTCCCAGGTCTTCGTCGGATATAACGTTATTTCGCCCAACCATACCGCGGAATTGCGTTAACCGTTCGAGGTCTGCGATCGTGGATGGATCTCTAGTGATCAGTCTCAAGTACGGTAAGTACTCTAAAAGGACTTCTTCTGAAGACAAGCTTGACCCGCTAGCGATAGAATGAGCTGGCGCATCTGCTTCAGGCGGCGAAATACCAAACTCCTGACGACTACCCCAGGATGCTATCCCTTCCCGATGTGATGCGGAACCAGGCGACTGATTAGTTGAAGTCGGGCACGCTAAACGGCGAATCCACATATCCAAAAGACCGGATTGTTCCTCTATTTCCCGCCAAAGACGCATCGAGGTCGGGAAAAACATCTTGTAAGCATCGCTGCCATAAGCGCCGGGAGCACCCCGGCGCTTTACAGGATAAGGAAGCGAAAACAACAATCCTCGCACAGCTATTTGAAAACTGATCTCGTCTTGACGCAGTAGATCAACACTCGTCCCGGAGCCTTGAACGGATGATCGAGCTAATCCCGCCTCATTTCGGGTGAATTGTGATCCCCTGCGGCTGTCTGGCGCAAGGATGTCCGCATCAGATAATTCTGCGATGCAATCAGCAAAATGATCTGTAAAGTCGTCGCCATCGCAAGAAAGGATATAATTCTCATGGAGAGCGGCAACGAAAGTCTGGATATCCGTGCCAGTTTCATTGATCAAGTCATCAATCGAGACTTGGGATACTTTCCGTCGGGCAAAATGATGGAGGTAATGTGGAGGTTGAGGCGCCTGTGCATTTGGGGCCACAGTGATTGTTGGATCCTCCCGTTTGTTATATACAACCTTACCAACGGCGTGAAATATCCCTAGGCTGGATTCTCTGTGGGTGATAGCCAACAGCGATTCCTTTTCCATATTCGTAAGAGCTGCTGCTGATCTTCCGCTCTTTTTAATTCGACTAGCCACGGTTCCACTCCAATTCCCATCTTCGTCACCTCGTAAGCATAAGAACTCCATTGACGCAATAGCGCTTCTAATATCGCCCATATCTGCGAATCCTTTCAGAGCAGAAGGGCCCGGAATCCGCCTCCGCCCAGATGATCGGGCTTCTTTTTTTAAAACAAGGTCTAGGGCCTTTGTTATGAATGTCGGTGCAACCGGATTAAATTCAATGATGCTTACGCCGGGATGGTTCGATATCTCAGGACCAAGAAGTCGATAGACCGTAAAGTTATCGGACAAAGCTGCGCCGGTTCCCAGCAAGGTTTCTGATACGATGATGATAATGGGTGGACTTGATCCAATATCAGATTGCGGGAGCCAACCTTTGACCCCCATGGACGGTACAGCGGCCGCAAGATATCTTTGAAGTGCTGACCTAAACCCGAGGAGGGTCGAAGAACCCTGGCTCAAGGACGTTGGAAATTCTTCAATAAGAATGACGCGCCTGTGATTCCCCGGTGGAGTGGGATTCTCGTCAATAGTAAACTGGGAAGCCGTTGGGTCTTCCGATAGCGTTAGATTACTAAATTTACCACTCCGCCCAAGAAAATCGTCAAATTGAGCACCCATGGAAATATATCCAGTGGATAAATATTCCATCCCGGAAGAATTCTTCCATTCAATGATATCGTAACCCAGGGCTTTCGACAACAGCGAAATCGTAGTTGTTTTCCCGCTGCCTGCAGGGCCTTTGAGTACAAGAACTCGCTAATACTGTTAGTCAACCAGCACAGAGAAGGCAACAGAAACTGGACGACTACCCACACGCTTACTTCGGCTAGTGAAGACATCTACCAGCCATTTCTGAACATCCGCCACCTTTTTCTTGTGAACCGCCAATTCGTCTAGATTGGTCGGCACAAATCGCTCAGTCCACGGTTTCAACTGATCACCCACCACCGTCGATGGAGAGGTCCCTAGGTCAGCTTGAGAGGGAAGTAAAAACCGTTTCACGGGTTTTGATTCTCTTGCTGGAGGTCTCTTCTCATCCTGAGTCCGTGCCTCGTAGGCGCTCGCTTTCCGTCGGCCAATGGTAAGGCCCGCGTTCACTTCGTCATGTTTTACTCTTTGGGGAGACGCTTCGTTGTTATAAGAACGAGCACTAGTCCAATTGTACAAATCATCTCCGCATTCCTCGTCCTCGATTTCTTCGACAATATCCAGTGTATGATTCTCCACGGCCTTGCTCCATCGCTGCTCCTCAGTTGCAGGGGCGAAAAACGAGTGAAGAGATTTCGATGACGACGATTTATCGGAAATTGGCCTTTTGCCTGTCTTCCGTTTATCTGGAGAGGACGCGGGGGTCGTTTGGGTAGAAGGTATCCGGCTGTTCGAAACACGAGATGAGGTTTTCTTCGGCTGAGGCTTGGAACGACGCGTACGAGCTGCACATGTATCCGCTTTGCTAGCAGCGGAAGCTATCTGGGACTCGGTCGTCGTCAATCGCGTCTGCGTACCGCGTTGGCTTGCTGGGGCTGTGATTGAAGAGGATAAGGGAAGGTAAGTGTCGTCCTCATCCGACGACTGGACTACAAGGCGCCTCTGCCGCTTCTTGGGAGGTGGAGCGGCCATGGCACCAAGGGAAAGCGAACATATCTCAGACGTCAGTGCAGAAACGCTGTGGGAGAATTCATCGGCTTCCAGCTGTTGGATGAACGGTTTGCGAGGTCGACGGTTCACCAGCAGGGAGTGTATTAGCTAATTGCGCTATTGAGGGATATCTTGGGTAGCTATAGAGGCTATCAGCATATTGATTGGTCAAACCGCACTAACTGAATACGTCAAGCCTGCACTAGCCCGTATCAGCGTGGGTGCTGGCTTGGCATCCCTTTTGCGAAAGAGCCCTGTCATCCTCCGTTCTCCAGGGAGAGTTGAGCCTGGCCGTCAAGAGTTAGAGCTCAGAATATCTTATATAGCTCTAGAAGCAGCTTGCTCTTTCTAAGAGTGATCAAAGAGCTGATGACCAGTAGCTAAGGAATGACCCTAACCCCTTTTCAAGCTTCTTACTCCGTAGTTACAGCAAACTCTGGGCATGCACGCCAAGCCATCCCAGTGACGTCGTGTCGCAGCTTGAGCTTCAAACATTACCTAAGCCCCCAGTTGTCTGATAGCTACACGATCGCCCAAAAATTCGATTGATTGTGTTCTTCCTGGTAGGTAACTACTCTGACAGCGACATTCTTCAGCCATGACGACAGCAGCGGTATTCGGCTGCACAGGAGCCGTCGGCTCTCAAATTCTCGCCACTCTCCTTGCCTCAGACGCATTCTCCTCCGTCAAAACAATCTCACGAAGACTCCCGAATGCTCAGTCCCCGAAGCTCCAAGCCCTCGAGGAAGGCGACACCTCCAAATGGGGCGGCATGATCTCCTCCCTCTCCCCCAAACCATCCGTGGTGTTCAACGCCGTCGGCACCACGAGAGCCGCAGCCGGCGGAATCCAGAACCAGTGGAAGATCGACCATGATCTGTGTATAGAGAACGCCAAAGCGGCCAAGGAGGCGGAAGTAAAGACATATGTGTTCATCTCCAGTGCCGGAACTAGGGGTTTCCTTGCTAGCCACGTACCGTACTCGAGAATGAAGGTCGGCGTGGAGGACGCCATCAAGGAGCTTGATTTCGACCATGCTATCATTCTGAGGCCGGGTATGATTCTCGGGAGGGAGAAGCCCAAAGCTCCGTTCTGGGAGAGTGTTGTCGGAAATATAAACAAGCTGGGGCAAGGGGTCCAGGATATGCTGGGTATGAGCACTTTGTGTCAACAATCACCGGACTAAGATATGTGTACTAACACCTCGAGTGTAGGCCAGGATCAAACTACCATTGGTAGGGCGGCCGTGATGGCAGCTCGTATGGCCGAAGATGGAAAAGCACCGTCGAAATACTGGGTTGTGGAACAGGCTGATATCGTCAAGTTTGGCAGGACTGAGTGGAAGGCGTAATGCGCCCTTGGGGGAATTGGATTCATCGGAGATTTTGGGAATAACATATGTATAACTATGCTAATTGATTACATACATTGGGCTCTGCTTGTTTTGACTTGGAATCAAATAAAGGTGACTCCGCTTTGACAAAATGAAATAGAAAATGTGAAATAGTCAAAGCTGAGTATTCCGTACCAAGAAGGGGAATCTTGTAGGCCTCAAAAGGCTCAAGCACAGTTGAGACTATTAGTTATACGGGAGCTTTGCTTTTCTTCTCCTATGGTTGTTTGTTTACCTGTCCAGTGTCTAACTATGTTTGTGCGTCATGAGCTCGCCACCCTGATGTCACCCGCTCTGGGAGGAATAGTCAAGATTTCTTCGTCGAATGGGCTGCCCTCGTACATATATACACTGCTCAGCAGCTTTGGTCTGCTTTTGCAGACAGACTGGTTAATTCGCTATGCACTGATATTCATAATTGCGGCACCCAAACAAAATCATGACTATAACCCATCATTCCCCCGAGGATCTGGGCCCCATCCACCCTCCTCGAGTCCGGAACTTGAGTACGCGACCCTCAAACGCCCAGACCGTCAAGATCAAGGTGAAAGATCCGCTGGACCACGAAGCCCCGGCAATTCTTCACCTACCTCCCGACTTTGATCCCCATCGCGCCAACGGCGCTGCCGTGGTGTTGATCAGCGGTGCGGGTGGAGGTGTCAGCGGTCCGTCAGGTACATACTTTTATATGCCTCCCCCCCCCCCTTGGGTCCGTATCTTCCAAACTTTCTAACGCCCAATTCCCTTCGCCCCAGGAATCTACCCTTCCCTCGCCGAGAAATTCTCCCTCCTCCTCTCCATCCCCTGCATCCGTCTCGACTACCGCGAACCAGCCCACTCCGACTTCTGCTCAGCCGACGTCCTCGCCTCCTTCACCTATCTCTCCAAACACTGCTCATCCACCAAATTCGTCCTCGTAGGCTGGTCCTTTGGCGGCAGTCCATGCTTCACGGTCGCCGCGCGTGATCCGGAGCGGGTCCGGGGGATCGCGACCGTGGCGTCTCAGACGGCGGGGACGTCGGGGGTGCGGAAACTGAGTCCGCGTCCGCTGCTGTTGCTGCATGGCACCGGTGACACGGTGCTGGCGCCGACGTGTTCGCAGAGTTTATACCGCGAGTATGGGAGTAAAGGGGCGAGTGAGCTGCACTTGTTCGAAGGGGATGATCACGGGTTGACTAAGAATGCGCCAAAGGCGGAGAAGTTGATTTTCGACTTTGCGGCAAGTTGTCTAGGGTTCGGGGATTTGTTGACAGGGAAGATGGAAGAAAAGGCGGGAAGGGATCTGGCCGGCAGCAAGGAGGAGAGGTTCAAAGAGATGCAGGCTGGTCATGACCTGGAAGGCGGGGAAAGAATCTGATGAAGACAAAAAGGTATTTATTTGGGAAAACGTGACGAAACCAGTTCGCACATCCTCCCGTACTTCATTATTGACAAGCGATCTCAACATATATAAATCTTGGTATCAAGCAAAAATATCAAAACGACTAAAACCACCAAGTCTCAACATGAACGCACCGTAAAATCAATTAAGAACCACCAAAAACATCATAGTAATAATCTTCATCCAAGCCTTCTCGGCTAGGGATTTCCGGGCATTCTCCCATAAAAGTGGCATCATCGAATCGTACATTCAACAATCGGATTTTGAGTCCGTAATTACTCACCAAGTTAATAAGTTTGTTTGTCTCGGCAGTTATCGGCTGCTGATTGAGGAGCATGAGAAGGCCATCGAGCCACTCGGATGCAATGCTGTGCGATTGAGGGTGGAGTGTCAAAAGCACGATTTCCTTTTGGGTTTGGTTTGTTTTCGCCGTGTTGGAGCGTTGTCGGCTGGCATTGCCATCATGTGCGTCAGACAGTGCTTTGGCGTTGTTTTCAGCAGAAGATGGTTTTTGAGCGTAGCCATGAATTGTGATTCTCGTGGAGGAAGAAGGTTGAGGAAGCGTTTTGATGGTGGAGCCAGAAGAATCGTCCGAAGACGCTGAGACATTCGAAACAACGGATGAGACCGTGCTGAGGTCGACTATCTACTGTCAGTAACTGTTTTGGGTTATCAAGAGCAGGAGAGCATACTTTTATGTGTAAGGTCGTCAATATCAGGGATGTCGTTGTCCACAGAGTCGAAGTCAGCATAGTGAAGAATTCGCCGATTATGCGACAGCTGTGCATATCGGTATGACGTGGTATTGGTCCGCTTCGCATCTGGTCTTGAAGCTACTCCATTTTCGCCTTTGGAAATCGATTCTATCGGGAACCAGGCGCCTTGCAGCAGACACCTGATCCGCTGCTCCTTTACAAACTGTAGGGCTTCATGGTGTAGCTCTTCCCGCACCCGATGAAGGTGTTGCCCCCAAACGTCTTCGTATGTTAGCTCCAGCAATTCCATTTGCAATTCCCGGAGCCGTTGGTATTCAAAATCATTCATCTCCTCTTCAATTTCATGCATATCCTTGGTCCGCGTAGCACCGCCAATGACAGATTCAACGAGAATCCGTACCAGTTCGGTGATTTTTGAAAAGTCTTCCAATTGCGCTCCGGTTGCTTTCCACAAGCGGAAAAATGCATTCAGGGCCGAAACGTGCAACCGAGGCCAATGAAGCAATAATGGTTTGAAGACCTTGTCGAAATTGGACCGTGATTCAAGGATCATATAGCTTTTCGGGTCTTCCAGATCTGCCTTGTCGATCTCGAAATGCTCGTATAAAATCGCCGTTACGTTCAAAGACGCTCTAGCTATTGGGCAGCGCTGCTCCGAGGGCTTTGTGGATTGCTCTAGGAGCATCTTCTGAAATTGATCTTGATACCTCCTGACGAAGTCTGTAAAATCCATCATTCCCAAGAACCCCATTTCGTGGAAATCCCATTGAGGGCTCTCTGACTCAAAGCCAAGTCTTCGCCATTTATGCGGATTATGTCTTCTGGATCCAGTCTTCTCGGTCTCTTGTGGCTTTGCGGGGTTACTAGCAAGATGGATGCCCTTCAAAGCCCTGCGGTGATCCGGTGTCTCCAGATCCACTGCAAGATCTCTCCATTTTTTCAGTAGTACTTTAGTGAGAGACTGGAACTCCAACAAGGGTTGAGCCAAATCTTGCAGCGCGGAACCCTGCATAAGAACATACACAGCCCGGATCACGCCCAAATCCTGTAACCGCTTGATAAACCTGGGCCATTCTGCCTCGCTTTCAGACATTATCGAGTCCCTCATCAGACTATTGATCAGTTGTAGAGCATTGGCGCAGAGCGCATGGTCAGCGGAGGACAGCCTGCTAACGAGCATTTCGAGAAATTGGGAGTGGATCGCGATCGCGGGCTTGAGCGCGTGGAATCCGAAAAGGCCAGACTGACTGTAGGTGGAATTGCGGCCCGAGCCACGCGGGTGTGAAACGATCGAGACCAGGATAGACATTGCACCGCGCAGGATGTTAACGAGCGGGTGCGTAACAATGAGTTGAACAATCTGGTTTAGTGATTAGACGGGGAAAATTCTTGCAACCATGCAAAAGGACTTCCGGGAAAAGCCAGCACGCACCCTCTCGATAAACTCTTCATCCACCACATCCCACCCCTTATCGACTTCCAAGAGCCTCGCAAATGAAGTCAGACTATACGCCAAAGTGTTTCCAGTAGCAGTCATGGCCAGATGCTTCAGTTTGACCAGTCCTCCTTCGGAAATGAAAACGTCCGCAAACGAAGGGTCGCCGATATTGGACTGCAGTTTGAACACGGCCATTTTACGAACGGCATCTTCATCGCTGCCCAGTCGCTCCGCCAGTTCCGACACATTGATGTTCTCCATGCTGGGCTAGAGGGCTATTGAACCACAGGACCGGGACGGACGAAGGGGTAATTTCGCGGCAGAGAAAGGCGGGCTAGAAACCCGTCCGGGGTTGTTGTTGTTGTCTTTCTTCCCTTTTTGTTTTTCTTTTCTTTTTTAACCGCTCGCGCTGTTTTCCTTCCCGAGTTCGCGATGAACTATTAAATGCCAATCAAAATAAGCCGTTAAGAAGCTTTCCAGCCGGAGAGCTCAAGCGAGTCCGTACCTCAATCAAAGCACGGTCATCTCTGAGTGATAGCCCAAAGTCGCCATAGGGAATGATGCCGAATCAAAGCGCGCAATTGAGCTCAGCTGAAGCTCGAATGACTAGTTGGGCGCGGCACTTGAGCTGGAGTTGAATGTTCAATGGATGCGCGCTGCCTCGAGCTGTTTTTCCCCAGAATCTCGAGGACAGGGGATGTTCACGTGACCAGGCTGTGGCTTCGCAGATATCAGATGCAAGTATAACTACTATATAGGGTTGTTATGGAGTCGATTGACGAGGATATTAGGATATTATCAATTGCGCAATATGCCGTCAGCAGCATGCCCGGTTCGCACCGCGCTCAAGTAACTAGTTAACTACATGCAAAAAGCCAGACCAGAAATTAATGTAGAGTACACCAACACAATGCCCTAACCAACCGTCACCCAATGTGGCCCTTTTTTTTTCCCGGTATCATTCAGATAAAAACAAAAGGAAATTTTTTTATAAAAGTCGGACAGTGTTTGCGTAAATGTAAGTAAATCAGCAAGCCAAATAACAAAAACATCCCCTCCCATGTTGTACAAGAATAAATCAATATTGGCAAAAGAATAAACATTAATAGTGCATCATGGAAGCGGGTGAGAGAAAGAGTGTTAAGACTTAAGAGAAGAGATCCAGTCCTCGTTCCTAGTCAGGGTCAGGGTCAGGGTTTCCAGCCGACGTTCCAGAGCACATGGGCGATATCGCTGAGCGTATTAGCTATTTCGGTAAACTTGTTCAACAGGTCCCGACTTGTAGAGTTAACGGCCTCATTCTTATCGGTCTTCTTGGGATCCCCACATGAGTATGGCATGAAAACTCCGGACGATGAAAGGTACCACCCGTCATCATCATTGGGTTCCTGGAAATTTGAATCCTTAACAGCTGAAGCCGCGGGGTTTGGAGGAGAAGGCGGCGGGATATCAACTAACTTGGGTGTTTGGGGCCAACTGTAACCAGCGCTGGGTTCGACGTACTCAATATGTTTGGTGAAGGCAACCTGCCGGTATTTCCAAAGGTTGCCCTGAGCGTATCCGTGGAGAAGGTCCGGGAGAGGCCTGGGCGATCCCAGGGCGGGCCAAAATATGGAGTTTCATCATCCTCAGTGTCTGAGCCACTATCCCATTTCAAGGTAGTGGGAGGCAAATGCGCAATGATGGTCCTGGTATCGCTGCTGAAGCTGCTCCTTGGTGTGCTGTTGCTGCTCAAAGACGGTCGCGAAGCTGACCCTTTCATTGTCACCAGAGTACTCAGGGACGAGGCATCGTCGTCATCCAACAAGCAATAGTCGCCCGAAAAATCATCGTCCTCGTCATCTCCATCATAATCGTCACGGTTAACAGCGACAACTTGCGAGACTACTTGGTTGAACGTGATGTGGCGTCGACTATTTGGGGATGATGTCCCTGAAGATGCGACAGATGGCGCAACTTCTGCAGCTTGCAGGGAGCTCTCGTTGTGGGTAGTAAGCATGGCGGTGTCAGAAACCGTCCGGCCAAGTCCTAAACGGCGATCTTCGGTCTGCGATCTGATGAGGGTGCCGGCATGTTGAAGAAGGGAATCGGTGGAAAGAGAATGCTGCAGAATAGCCTGGGATATGGTCTTCTTCTTAAGGATGGGCTTCGGATCGCCCTGCGAATTCGAGGCCGGCACAGCAACAGAAGACGGGCGGGTGCTTGATGGATAGTCTCTGTCGTCCACTAGTAACGGGCCAAATAGCCAGGTCACGTCGGCATCTTTAAGCCTACTACTTGTCAATGTCAAGCGCTCAAGATGGAATCAGGTGCCTGGAGTGCGATAACTTACCAGCCCATAGATTCCGGCGCAATAGTAGGGAGGTGGTTTTTCGTCTTCATCCACGATCTCCACGCGGCATTCTCCAATCTCCAGCTATTTTTGCAACTCCGGTTGCGCGTTAGATATTTCCATGAACCGCGAATTTCCTCCTGTTTCCAGGTATGGGTGAGGTAGTCGACCTGTCGCGTAGGTCTCCTCTCCAAGCAGCTGTCATCGCCAGCAGTCTTGGGCACATTCATCGGATTGGAAAACCAACTGTCACCATCGTCATCTCGGCCAATGTCAGGTTGCGAAACATCTGCTGGTTGATTCTGCAATGTTTCCGTTTTGCTAGGTTCGTGGAAGCCTGCATCGTAATCAGGAAGGGCCAATTCATCGCCAATTGGGTTGGGTTCAAAGTCCAGCAGGCGGTGCTTTGACGGTGCGTACACGCCGGAGACCGCAACATATGAAGGGCCACTGGCAACACTCGGAATCCAGGCTTCTCTCGTTGAGCAGTAGAACAATGTGTTGATATGACTTACAGGCCGGAACTTTTCGGAAGGACGACGAGAGCGAGCCTGAGGCGAGGGGGGTTGAGAAGAAAGGTCAGGGGAGGGCTGGCCATAGGGAGGCATCCGGGAGTCCGTCATGGTCTCGGGTTCATTCGTTGTTAGGATACTTGTTTCTTTGGTTTCTTCGATGATGCGGTATCTCGTGAACGGATATGCTCGTCCAGGCAAAACTTCAAGGTACTCAGAGTGTTAACAGCTCAGAATCGCCCTTGAGTAGATATAGGTCTTGAAAAGAAATCCTGCCGAAAAAGCAGGTGATTTCACGAATCTTTAATAGAAACGAAAAAAAAATAATAAATAGAATAATCGCCACAGTCTAGCGAGCTATCGTGAGTCGACAGCAAGGGTATCGGGACTTTTTCTGTTTATCAATAGCTTTTCTCTCGGGGCTCCTCCGTAGACAAGGGAGCTCCCCAGTGATGCCCAGAGCTTCCAGCGATGAAGATAGGCGTAGATTAAAACACAATCCAGTTGATCAAATAGCCGAGACGTCGACACAGTTCTTGACTGTCTCTCTACCCCTCTTCCGATGCTCAATGGACGCAGACTCCGCGATTCTCTCGTCTTTCTGTCCGGCAACAAGCGTCGCAAAGTGGCGGGGTGGAGAAGGGCGGTCGCGGCCCTCGAGATGAAGAACAAGAACACGCTATCAACACACTCGGCGCCACGGCTTGGAAAACGTGCTCTGGAAGCGATTCGACAGCAACGTGCGATCCCTGCGCTCCAGACAGCTCTGGTCGGTCCAAAACAGAGGGCAAAACAGGATTGTTTCTAGACGAAAGCGACTATCGTGACAACACACGAACGAGGGTGTGGGGAGTGATACAGAGGAATGTCTATCTATTTATCAATTGCTACGGGCATATCTAGGCTTTTCCGCCGATTTGGAGTTCAGAAATGAATCATCATTCTGCCTCTAAAAAGGCCCCGGGAGCTTGACGGACAAGCAATCCATGGGTCTTGCAGGCAACAGGGATTCGAAAGTTGGCAGTTCCTTTTTGGCTCCGGCCTGCTCTTTGCGTGCGATGGGATGGGATTTCCGTGGATCAAAGCCAAATCGCTCGCAACCTTAACAGCGCTGGTATCGACGGTGATGAGTTGCGGTTTCATCTCGCCCTCCTTGTCGGAGGGAGAATCCGCAGTCAATTCCTCCGCGCCGGTCCGTCACCGGGGAAAAACTGGAGCTGGCTGGTCCGTCGATAGTGGGCTCCTGGCGGTGAGAGCAGACTGGAATCCACGGTCAAGCAACGTGCGACATCGAGACATCATGGATAGCGTCACATACTGCAGGACCACGGATCAAAGGCCGTTCGAGACTGGCACTCCTCCCAGACTTTCTGCGCAATTACATCGAGGCGGAACGCTGCGGCCCAGCCAAAGTAACCGCTATCTATCGCATCCAACCACCAGGCAACACAGTCCCCTTTGGCCACGGTTGGATCCAGCGACTTCTTGGTCGTGAGTTTGTCCTGGTTGACAGCCTTGACAGGGCTATCAAACAAGCCGCTGGAAGGAGACGCTCCGGACCGGAGTGTGCCGTACGAAAATCCCAATGCGACAGCCAAACCTACCCGTTGCGCACCACTTACGTTATCAATGAAAATCCGGGGAGATGTGCAAACACATGGCTACATTCGAGACGGTAAAGATATCGTCCTGCAGATGGTCCAGTCTCAACAGCCGCCGTCATCACCGCCACTGACGCCCTCGCTTCTCCATCCATTTACATTATTGGTTTTTTTTTTGCACATACCTCGATTAGTTACCCTCCCGCACCTAATTTGTCTTTCAGAACATGGGCGACTACGGCGATCTCCTTGACTATAATTATGACGACTATGACTTTGACGAAACCGCCGACCCCCCCTCCCCCACAGGTACGATGAGCACAGTAAAGGCAGCTTTTATCCCATTGTCCTCGGAGAAGTTGCTCAATAAGTGATACCGTGTGGAGCTAAACTTGGCCACGCGGATTTTCAGCTCTCTGGCTGGCACACGATCTTCAAAAGAAGAAGGATGTTGCTGTCAAAGTTAACTATAGCCGAGGGACTTGGAGAAAATGAGTATCTTTTACGGAAAGAAATTCCCAAGTCTGAGAGATACATCTCATCTTACACTATGTCTTGATATATTTTCTTCTCATGGGAAAAAATCTTCAAATACTTGTTTATCCTTTGCCGGGACAAGTGTTTTCCGATATTACTATAAGAAGAAAACCAATGGCCATTTGCATGTCTCACTAGTTGTGACATGTGGAGTTACATCTGCTTTTTTTCAACTCTTTACTTTGGAACTGCTCGCCTTCACTACTGGCTGATGTGGTTAGGGCCACTACTGTGATCCCCAAGCAGAGTGTGACTCTTGGTTTGAAAGAAAGGCTGGTCCCAAATACAGCCTTGCAAGCATCATGCCACAGTTCGCTCATCACCAAGAGCTCCACCATGTGCTATCTATCATGAACAAATGCATCTACTATTTGCCTCAGGAACGGCCAACTACATCACGTCTTCTCCAGGATCCCTCATTTCAAGCCAGCATGAGGATACACTGCACCTAACGGTCAGTCGGTTTCATTTGACACTTGAAGTTCATTTAGGCAATTCCAAATGGCCAGTGGTTACAGTCGGTCAATCCAAAACTTCTCTGTTTCTCTCCTATTGTATGTGCAATTTGTAATCTCCAATGTTCGTTCCAAGTCGGTCATCACTGTGTCAGTCGCGAATAACTATGTAGCTAGTAACTAACAATAAATGATAATATTGGCTAATATAACTAATTTACAACCGCCTATCTGCATTCATGATAGACACTGTCACACAACATGGCAAGAAATTGATATTTCTTGCATATTATGCCCTTGGCGCTCCAACATCTTTCGTATCCTTCCCGTCCATCGGTTTATGACCGCGTTGGCTTAACCCGGTTTCACTCAACGAGCTCTCCTCACCTTGTACCCGTCGATCACTGCTTAATCATTTACCCGTTCCAGACGATCCTTTCTTGGGGGGCCACAGTTGGGGCCGTGGCATGTTCCCGGGATCCCAAACCACGAGAGCTTTCAAGCTCCAAATCCACCCAATAACTCAAGCTTGGTGCAAGCTCAAAAGAGCCACAGACATGGCCATCCCCGCTGCCGGATTCGCCCTCGCACCAAGCATCAGCGCATGGTTTGCCAGGGATCTCCTCGCGTTCGCGCAGAGGATTGAATCGCCAAGTCCCCCTAAGATGAAAGCAGCGGCACTGTCGTGTAATGGACAGGCATGAGAAATGCCGGAAGAGCTGCCCTTTGGCATCTCGAACTTTTCATGGACTTGGGAATCGACCTTGCCCCTTCTTCCCATCCTCTAAAGCGGCTTCTGTCGCCCTTCCAATCTGTCCCATTCGGCAAACCTCCCCGCGGAAGTGCTCACAATGACGGCCTCCCAGCTCAAAAAGCCTCTCTCGGGCGATGTCGAGTTGAATGTCGAGCGCAACGAGAAGCCCTTGAAAAATGATGCTCGCGAAGCTGCGGAGCGTGGGCAGGTTGCCACTGACATGTATGTAGACCTCAGACCTGAATCTAACTAGGTGACAATTTCACTTACGGATACCTCTTCTCTTAGATATGGGAATCCGCTGGTGGAGTTTGATCGAGCGGCTGAGCGCAGACTCCGCACGAAAATCGACTTCTACATCGTCCCTCCTGTGGCGTTGCTATATCTGTTCTGCTTCATTGATCGAGCCAATATCGGTGAGATATTCAATTCCAGGCGAAATCTCAAATTCGGAGCCTAATCAGTTTTCTAGGTAATGCAAGACTCGCTGGTCTTGAAAGAGACTTGGGTTTACGAGGCTATGATTACAACGCCGTGCTCAGCGTCTTTTACATTTCGTATATAGTTTTTGAGATTCCTTCCAACATGCTTTGCAAATTGGTGGGCCCAGGATGGTACCTACCTGGAATCTCCCTCGCGTTTGGAATCTGTTCCGTTGGCACCGCCTTTGTGGACAACATTGCCGCCGTCAGTGGTGTTCGCTTCCTCCTTGGTGTTTTCGAAGCCGGCATGCTTCCTGGAATTGCCTATTATATGTCCAGATGGTACAGACGGAGTGAACTTACGTTTCGCCTGTCCCTCTATATTGCCATGGCACCTCTAGCTGGCTGCTTCGGTGGGCTGCTAGCCTCTGGCATTCTGAAACTTCCCAATTTTGGAAGCCTAGAAGAGTGGCGCATGATTTTTGCTATCGAGGGCATCATCACCATTGGCTTGTCGCTCATCGGTTTCATCGTCGTGACTGACCGCCCGGAAACCGCAATTTGGCTCAACGAAGATGAAAAGGCTTTGGCCATTGCGCGTGTTAAATCCGAGCGCGTTGGCACTACTGAGGTTCTGGACAAGGTGGACAAAACTAAAACCGTCAGGGGCCTCTCCAGTCCCGTCACGATTGCAACTTCTCTGATATTCCTCCTCGACAACATCACTGTTCAAGGCCTGGCATTCTTCCTACCCACGATCATCCGTGTTATCTACCCGGATTCAACCGTCGTACAACAGCAGCTACAAACTGTGCCTCCCTATGTTGTCGGGACATTTTTTACCATCTTCATTCCACTCCTCAGCTGGCGCTTCGACAATAGAAATATATGGATGATCATGTCTGCACCGCTGGTGATGATCGGCTACATCATGTTTCTCGCGTCCGAAAATGCCCGTGTCCGCTACGGCGCTACCTTCTTCATTACTAGCGGGGCTTTTTCGTTCGGTGCGTTGTGCAATGCACAGGTATCGGCAAACGTAGTCTCGGACACAGCTCGATCGGCCGCGATTGGTATGACCGTGATGTTTGGAAATGTTGGTGGCCTTATCTCCACCTGGGCCTTCCTGCCCTTTGATGGACCGGACTATCCTATAGGCAACGGGCTAAACCTGGCCACGAGCGGGACGATGCTCATCATCGCTGTGTTGCTGCACTTTTGGGCAGCGGTGGATAATAACCGGAGAGGGAAGAGGGATATCAGTTCTGATTTGGCGGGATTGGACCAGAAGGCTATTCAGAATCTCGACTGGAAACATCCAGGCTTCAGATGGCGCTTGTAAAGCGTCATTTTCTACTCACAACCGCAGTGCAAGCATATTATGTGTTAGAATATCAGCCCTGATTCCTTGTTGGGGCACCTTTAAGCCTCCGGAAATCGGCGAATCTAAATTCCGAATCCGATCACGTGCTCGTCGGATTAATAAAAGTCCGGTACGTCAGATACGACAGATACGTAATGTTATTTCAGTAGCTGTAGTATGTAAATTATCCCGTTCGTGCTCGTGGGAAAAGCACCTCAACACTCGGGAATATACTCGAGAAATCTACGTTGTCATGGCTGAATCGGCGGAAACAGAGTCCCAAGCAGCTCCTATTGAGCCCCAGGCTAGGCACATTGTTTATTGCGGAGGTGAGAAAATCTAGCTTTCATCTCTCGTCTACCCCGCCGACCCCTCGATGGACGCTTCATGTTGACCTTGTGTGAATATCAGTGTGCTCGCTTCCTCCCGAGGTGTGTAGAACGCGACTTTCTAGAGAAATCATTTAAATTCCACCCTGTCGCCTGATTACCGTACACTCCCTGAAACCTCTTGACGCGCCTCACTAATCCGTTCGGGCCCTGGGTTCGTCCGTGTAGTATTGCGAGTTTGGCGGCACAGCAAAGAAGTGTGAAGAATGGCTACACCAAAGCCACCCTGATATGCATCAGAGCCTATACTCAGAGGGTACTCCCCCCTCTCTGCTTGCCATCCCTCCTACGTTGGATTCTCTCTCTAACGTTATCCCCTTTCTCCTCCCAAAGAAACCATCGCCGCCAATCTTTCCACCCTCTCCATTGAAGCCCGCCAACGTGCCGCCAAAGACGCTGCTAAAAAGGAAGCGAAAGCCGCCCTGGCCGAGACCCGTGACCAAGAACGAAAGGCCGCCGCAAAGGTCCAGATCAAGCGTGTCGAGCGGAATAAGCGGAAACATGTCACTGTAATCGCGGGTATAGAGGCCCATGGCCTAGAAAACAAGAAGGTGGCTAAAGAGCTGGGGAAAAAGTTTGCCACGGGTTCGTCGGTGACCAAGAATCCGGCTGGGGGGGAGGAAATCACAGTGCAGGGCGACGTGTGTGAAGATGTGCTGGAGTGGCTGGAGGGGAAGGGGATACCAGAAGAAAACATGGAAATTGTGGAAGACAAGAAGAAAAAGAAAGGGGCGACAGAGTGACAGGGAAATTGTTGTTGCGTGCTTCTGGCCTTGCTTCGGGATTTGGCGTCTAGGAACTTACTGCTTCTATTGTTTGAACTATGAGGTTATGGTTTGGAATGGCTGAATGGAATGCATTTATCATAACTAGGTAAACTTGAGACACTTGATAAATTGGCATGAGATTTAACAATATATGGGGTATCATGAACACATACTACATCAAATCCACATTGGGACAACTCTCATAATTCGTCTAGTACTCTTTGTATCTGATCTTCTGGGTCCTTTTGTTCAGATACGCTAGTAGGCACTCTAGGCCCAAGGCTTTGACGGGCTTCTTTCGCTTTGGATGCGAAAGAAGTACTGATGAGTCTCGTAGCATGCGCGTCGTCTTCCAGACATGGTGTTCCCTCTCCGCATTCAGTCTCGTTCTCAGCAGACCTGGAAACGAGCGTTTTCCAACTGTCCGTAGCCCCGAGGGCCTCCTGTGGTGCCAAACTCGGCTTAAAACGATCTACCAAACCCATGACGGCAAGAAACAAGACGGCGGTCCCCATCACGGCCCACAGAATTCTTAATCTCCGACTAACCCTCTTTTGCCATTCTACCTCTTTCTGGTCCCACGCCTCGATCTGCTCCCGCACAGTTTTAAGGCGCTGATCCAGATTCGACGCCCGCTCCCGGCAGCTTTTCATTCTGGCCTCGAGCACCTCGATTTTGCGGATCTGGGGGGTGAATCCTTGAAAATCGGCGATCTGTTTGCGGGTGCTTTGGGTGAGTTTGGCCGCTTCACTGTTGAAATCGGTGTCGATGCTTGTCGTGAGGTCGCGTAGGGTGTGAAAGGAGCGAATGGTGGAACGAATGCTGGACAGGCGGTCGAGAAGGTTGTAATACGCTGTGTCGAGACGCTGTGAAAAGGCAAGGGACTGGTCTGCAAGCGAGGAGAGGGCGACGGAATTGGACCTTTGGGCAATAAGATGGTTAGCTTTACTTTTATTGCTGGGAAATAGACATGTGAAACACACTTCTCTGCGTCTTTCCTTTTCTGCTTCTGCCTCTCGACATCCTCCAGACGAATGTACTCCTCGCGCTGTACAAAGGGTAACCGAATCACATTATCCATCTGGAACTCATTCCCTATCTCTTCGGATACCTCTCCTGGCAGCCCAACCCCTAGATCGTTCTCTGACGAGCCTGCCTGCACCCCACGAGCTTCCCCACGAGCTTCCCCAGGAGCCATGTCGTTCCGAATTTGGCGACTCCCTAGACGTCCGTCGTGCGACCTGTGTCTCCGATGTGGACGTAGCCTTCTATGCTTTTCTCGCCGCCCATCAAGGTTCGGGTCAAGGTCACGTTGCCCCGTCCAGGAATCTTCCCCGCCGATCAAATGATCCTGAACCCATGGTTGGTCGGGGAGATACAGGCCGTTGTGGAAGTGGGCGTGGAGATAGGCACGGTGAGAGAGGTGGCGGCGGTGTTTGGGTTTGCTCTTTGTGCCTGGAGTGGTTGAGTTTGGCTCGCGGCCGGACTGTGAGCCGCGGATTGGGGAGAATGCTGGGAGTCTCCGAGCGGCGGCGGTTTGAGAGGGCTCCATGGTTAAGCTGCTGGCTGCACTAACAAAGGTGCCTAAGTTTCTATAACTGGCGAACAACAGAGTAAATGGAGCTCATCGTTGGATTAGAGCAGATGTAGAAGAACAGTTGTTTCAACAGGGAGGATGAGTAGTTCAAGTAGTTAGCTACAAACATAGCTTGCTTGGTGGCAAAGGCTAGACCCTGGCAGCCAAGCTTTAGGGCTGGTTAACAATAGAAGAGATTCATCTAGCAAAATGATACTGTCGTATGTTATTCGCAGCACATTTTAGCATATAGATCAATTAGGACTAATAAAACCAAGACAGTTGGCACTTCATGTAAATATCATATAATATCCCTTTTTTTGGCTGTGGTCCTGTATACTGATGTCCCCTGACGCTCATGTCCGGCAAGGTGCCGCATAAACCACCATCCCTGGAATCGGGGCTTTGCATGTGTAAAAGTTCATCCCGTGCAAGTAGCATATCCAGAGACAACGCATTCAAAATTAAACGGGAAAGGAAAAGGTTAAATCGCGGGCCTTATTCCGCCGTGATAATTCTCTCATCGAAGGGAAGATGGTCTTGAATAACCAGTCGCCACGATTTGCTCAAGAAGCCTCCGCCTGTAAATGAGCAGTTCAACGGCTGTGCTCGATTGACGCAAGCAGACCTGTCTAGAGCAACCCTGACCAAGCAATCACAAGTTGTAAGAACGGGCACGCGATCGTCGAGTTTGCATGACGGTTCCCAGAACGATTCCTGCCATGAACAGCTTTTAACACACATAGCTTTAGCCGGGATTTGTCTTTCGAGTATGGCGCCCGGCGGTTCCCATGTTGCTAAATCTCAAAATTCGTCGGTCCTCCCAAAGCTCACGACTTGAGCAACTTGTTTCTCTTCTCCCTTCTCTTTAATCTTTCAACTCTCTTGCGGTGCATTTTCTCGGCCATCTTTTCGTACCGCTCCTTTTCTTCCTTGGCGGCCCGTCTGTCCTTGATAGCCTGTATCCGGCGCTGTCCAAGGAATGTAGTGTTAGTAACCCCAGATATGATATACGTTGGATACAGCAGCACCACATACCTGTCTCTCCGCTTCTTTCTCTTCCTTCATCTCCTTCTCCTTCTCCTTGATCGCGGCCATCGCCTTGCGCTCATCAAGGCGCCGCGCATAAGAAGTTAGGCCCTTGGTGGGGCGAAAGGCAGCTTTTGTATCGTGCCAGTTTTTGCCTGCGGACAAACTGTGAGCCCCAAATATGCTAGCAGAGCGGATAGAAGACAAGCTCACCATTCTCCCGCATCCCTTTGGGCGGTGCAGTGGCTGGCCCAGAGCTGCGAGGGGCATCGGTCGAGGACATGATGGCAGCGTCGAGGCAAACAGAAACCAGAGCTTATCTGAACACGCAGCAATCACAAGCCACCAACTGTCCGCAAATGTCGCAGCCCCGGACTCCCGATAACCAAAAGAAATGCAAATTTCACGCGACAGCACGCCAAGCCTCGCCAGACCCGGTCGACAGCCACCGCAGCCAATCACCGCTGCGATCGCCATCTAATATTATCTTATCTCCCGGATCTCGGCGATTCCTTTGCCCCGGCTCCCCCACCGAAAATCTCGCTGCGAAAAAGCGCCTTTTGATAGTGCGCCTGGCATAAAGAGTCTTGTCTGTCCGCTTGAGTCGCAGTCTGGTCCTGCACTACTGCTTTCCAAATATTATTAGGGACACTCGGGACAATGGCCCTTCGCGGATAATGTGGAGCGATATATTTGCGGCCGCATGCCACAGTCGACTCCAGTTCACAGACCGTTAACGCCCTCTCAGACCCCTCCTCGTCTTCTTCTGATTACAATGCTTGCTCGATAACACGGACCTTTGGATTGCTTCTCTGTGTCACAGTGAACATTACTAGCGATCTGTCGGAGCGGTGGAGCTGCAAATGTCGGCCGCAGAAACCAGGCCACAGGTCTCACTGGCCACCACGGACATGGCTGTGGATATACCGGATCTGCGGCGGAAGGCCCAGGATCAGGGGATGGAAGCGTTCAAAGACGTTACTTTTGGCTCTGTAAGCTAACGATATTCCGCTGCTGATGCTCTCCTTCCCGTTGCTGATTTGCCTCGAGTTTGCTGGAATCGCAGGCAAATACATTGAATATCCCTTTGATACCGTTAAAGTCCGCCTCCAGTCCCAACCAGATGGCCTGCCCCTCCGATATAAAGGACCCATTGATTGCTTTCGTCAATCATTCCAAGCTGACGGCATCCGTGGCCTTTACCGCGGCATCAGCGCCCCTTTATTCGGGGCAGCTGTGGAAACAAGCAGTTTGTTTTTCAGCTACCGCATAGCCCAAGAGCTGCTACAGACAACAGTTTACTCCCCGTCGGAAGAGCTGCCCTTTCCCGCGTTGTTGACTTGTGGCGCCGTTGCTGGAGCGTTTACGTCGCTTCTCCTAACGCCAATAGAGCTCATCAAATGCAAAATGCAAGTTCCTGTTGCGAGCGAAGCCGGACTCAAACCTCCCGGCCCCTTGACCCTCATCATGTCGGTTTACAAGCACGAGGGAGTATCTGGGTTCTGGCGCGGCCAAATGGGGACACTCATTCGGGAAACGGGCGGTTCAGCCGCATGGTTTGGAAGTTACGAAGGCGTATCTGCGCTCTTTCGGGCCTATAACAAGGCAGATCCATCTGAATCACCAGGGAAATCTTTGCCACCTCTACCGCTATATCAACAGATGCTCGCCGGGGCTGCTGCCGGCATCAGCTATAATTTCATTTTCTACCCTGCGGACACGATCAAATCTCGCATTCAAACCGAAGGAATTGCCCTTTCCATTGGTGACTCCCAGAAACGAACTTTTTGGGAGGTGGGGAGAGCATTGTGGAGGCAGCATGGCTTGACTGGGATGTATCGCGGATGCGGGATCACATGTGCTAGATCAGCGCCCAGTTCCGCGTTTATATTTTCCATCTATGAAGGCCTCCGGCACTATTTTGGTTGAAAAGCTCGTTGCAGCTCCTTTTTCTAGATTTTGGCGCTTTCGGAATCGGCGGTTAGACACACACTGGGATAGACTGTGATTTAAACTAGATTTTTCGAATATAATTGAATAGACAAATGACAACTCTACAGCATGGCATAACGCCAGTCACCAGTGTACATTGACAGGGCTTCAATAGTGCGGGGAGCGGGAGTGGCGTCACCACAATAACCCCCGCAACGTCTACAATAACTATAATAAAAGATTCAAAATACTCTTCTGATCCCATCCACCAGTTACACCCCTAGCAAACATACCTGCAGCGAGCAACATGGCCCCCGTCAACCTCACCGAAGCCGAATTAAGCACCCTCTCCGCCAAGGCCATAGAAGCAAAAGCAGCCGCATACTGTATGCCCTTTTGCAAGTCCTAGTTAAACAGCGTAAAACCACAACTTCGAGCGCTAATTCAGATTGATCCCCCCAAAAAAACAGGCCCATACTCCCACTTTAGAGTCGGCGCAAGCCTTCTCACCGAGGACGGCACGTATTTCATCGGCGCCAATGTGGAAAATGCGAGCTACCCAGTGGGGATCTGCGCTGAAAAGAATGCCATTGGGACAGCTGTGGTCAGTCCAGGGTGATCTAGCGTGCTTATCTTGCGTTTTGATTTCTTTCTTTCTTTTCTTTATTTTCCTCTTTTCCTTGCCGACTGACAAGGTCCTATAGACAGCGGGCCACAAGTCGTTCAGAGCTGTTGCCGTAGCCTCTGATATCATCCCCGGAACGTCTCCGTGCGGATCGTGTAGGCAATTGTAAGTAACTACATACAACCACAAGAAACCACCACTCTGTCCGCGGATGCTGACCAGGTTCTTCCGGGCACGGATAGCATGCGTCAATTCTGTCCTCCATCGCTTCCAATATACATGTACGGAACAGACGGGAAGTATGTCATGAAGACCATGGGAGAGGTAAGTAGTCGCCTTTTCCAACACTGAAATGGTAATCCAAAGGTTCGACGGGCTGACTTCCAACAAATTGCAGCTTCTCCCTGATTCTTTTGGGCCCGAGGACTTGGAGAAAAACCGTTAAGTCTTTTTGGTGCGTGGACGAGCGTGGATGGACGGCGTTTTTGAACTCTTAACTAGTTGAGGGCAACAACATCCTGGTAAACGGCCTCAGTTGGACGGGCATTCAAGATTCTTTGAAAGGACCAAGTTTCCTGGCAGTATAGTACAGTAAACGAATGAAGTAGAAACCGAAACGCCAACTATAAACGTCGTCATTTATCAACATTCATAATCTGAGGAAAATATTCAAAAAAGAGAGATAAGACAATATTGCACCCGAGACCTCGCTAATTTAGAGAACCAAGAACGCCCAAGCATTTCGGGTTAAGCCACTTGCAAAGATGAATAGAAAACGTCAACGATTCTAATACAGTGTGCACTTAGTGAAAATCCGTCGTATTTGGTACCTTATATGCCCGTGATAACAGTATATTAGTTTTTCCGAAATTCAGATTCAAACCTCTTCGTCTTCTTCAAAATCTTCCGCTCCCAGTAGTTCGTCCTCATCTTCCACAACGCCCACATAGTCTCCCCTTCTCGCTGCAAAGGCTCCGCGAGACGAATACGGTCTTGAGCTGCGTCCAATAGGTGTCCAGCCACGGGCACTTCTCCATAGACTGGCTGCAAGTAGTGGCAAGGCTGATAGAACCGCGACAGTGCCGGCAATAATAGCAATCGGGATGGCAATGAGCGGTGAATCTCGAGAAAGCCAGTCCCCAGATGAACCACTCTCTCCAAGCCGAATGCGCCCGAACTTTCCATCCCATCGGGTATATACATAGTAACCGACAACGCCCGCAGCCGCGATCGGTAATACAATGGCAAAGAATAACCCCGCGCCATGGAGTCTTGGATGTTTCTTTTCGAATTCTTTTTCTTTATTTGGACAAGGGAACGCTTTGAAACCATCCAGTTTGAGTCCACCTTCGCAGGTCGTGAGTGGAATTCGACGGTATCCAGTGGGTTCAAAGTATTCTATTGCTTTCGAGTCCTCAGTGCAGATTCGTTTGGGATCTAATGGCTGATGTCCTGGCACAAGCGCACAGGAGCCATCAGACTGTCTTTCAAAGTTATAGTCGCTAGCACAGTACGTCAGTATAGGATTTCTTTTACAAGCAGAGTTAGTAAAGTCACTCACCACTCGTAATCTTGCCTGGTGCATTCGCAGTTAGTGGAAACGTTATGTAGCCGCTCAAAATCTCCGCCATTGTAACACGAGGCCTCCGGTTTCTTGCGATGATAGCGTGTGATGTGGCCAAACAGGCAGTTGTCTTCCAACAAGGGGTGTTTTGGTTCCCAGAGATAATAATCATCGGCTTCCGGCTTATCTTCCTTTAGTACACATTCCTTTGAGCGCTCCTTTAGACCTGAAAAATCAATGTTCACAGTGGCAAACCCTGGTTTACTACCTGAGCCAACTTCTTTACCCCAAAGCAGGAAATTTCGTGACGTATCGGATGGGACGGTGGAAATGTCCAGGATAAGCATTTCAACCTCAGAGAACGCGAATTCTGTCCATGTCTTTCCTTCGTCAAGGGTATAAAAAAGTGCTTTCGTAGGCTTAGCCTCCGGTACGATGACGATAATGGAGCCTTGGTCGCCATACTCCCAAATGTAATTCCCCTTCTTGACAGAGTGCCACTCAATACCGCCATCGCGGGTAATAAATGTATCGCCCTCACTCTTCAAAGTTAGATGATCGCCCACGTTTCCAACTGCAAGCATTAAACCGACCGCCGAAGGGGACGAGAAAGTGTCGCGATAATCAGGCCGCTCAGTAAAGGAATGAAGATGCAGTCCGCATTCCTCTGTTCCTTTTTTTCCGGGTGAACAACTATAAGCACGCCCATCTGCATCTTTTGCTGGTGGTCGTATGTATGCCCATTCAGCACCGTCGTTATGCGTAATCATAGTCCTTAACTGCTTTGCTGCTCCCTTTTGTACTTCATCGACATTTGCAACAACATTAACCAAGGCAACTCCTTCCAGACCTTCCATCTTCTCAAAATCAACATAGTCAGCATTGTTTCGGTTGACATTGTTCAAACTTAACACGTATGACGTGCCGTTGCTGTTGCTCTTGATAATGCTGCCATACTGGTGATCTTCAACATTGTGCACTGTGACGTGTAGCCAAACGGAATGGGTTGAACTGTCCAAAACTGTATATGCTTGTTGAACCTTGACATCAAAGTTTGCTGGAAATTCAGCATCAGCGAACGTCTTGCCATCAATGCTAGCACCAACTTTGAGGGAATCCTTTTCAGAACGCGCAGCAACGATGATAAATTCAGCCATCGTCCTAAAGTCCAAAATGTTGTTGTAGTGAACTGTCTTGTCTTTAAACCAGGAATCGGAGGAGACAAGGCGGAGATGTCTATTTTTCGGATTCTCATTCTCATGTTGTGCACAGAAAATCAATTCATCGGTTTTCCGACTTCGCTCTTTGCCAATAAACTCACACCTTCCAACATATCGCATCAAGGTGTGCCATTCATCGCCACCATCAGTAGAATAGTGAGCAACAGAATGGCAGTCTCCACCACGTCCACAATTGTCGGCCCCCGTCCATATAAGCCAATCCGACCGCTCGGGGTCAGGATGAAACGCGAGAACAGGCAGACGGTCTCGATTGGGGAGGAGTTTGGTCTCAAATTCACGGAAGGAGTCTCCTCGATTCTTTGTGACAATGACCCTTTTTTCTCCCGTGATGAAATACATGGCATCGTTGATATATGTGTGCGGCCAAAGCTTTACAACATGCTTGCCTTCGAGAGTCTCTTTCCAAGTTTTGCCATGATCCCTTGTAATGAATACTTCCAACTTGTCTGTAAGCATCACAATCGTTTCGTCCTTGTCCTTACTCAAGACGGGGCGTTCTAGGTAGTAGTATTCTGCAGGTTTGTTCGCACTGAAAAAGTGTTTCGTGACGTCAATCTCTCCACTGACAGGTTCTTTGGCGGCATCACTGCATGGCCGTTCTTTTGGTTTGTCCAGCTCAATGCCACCATCTTTCACGCAATCATTGCCAGGGATCAGTCTAAACCCAGAACTACCAGTATACTTGTCATCTGGCTTTTTACACTGGCCCTCGGGGACAGGGAGCGCTCTAGCAGGGACGCAGTCTTTTCTATCTTTGCTTCGAACAAAATTAAAGTCACACTCGAAGTCTTCTTCGGTACATTTGCAGCGTTCCAGCTCAGGAACTGGATCTTTGAATTCAGATCCAATGAAGCACTCCGAGCCAGCTTTTCTCCGTGAGTAAAACTGCTTATGGCCCATTAAACAATCGGGTTCGTTTTTCTCGTTCAATCTGGCTGGCCATCTTTCAAAGTCGTCCTTGCCACATTTGCGCTCGTGAAGGTTGCTAAAGTCAATACCGATCACGGAATGTTCTACCCCAGAACCCGATTTTGACGTCCCAATGAGAACAAATTTTAGGCTTGTGGAATCGGGGGTTGTGGTAAGTACCCTCGCGCGGATCTTATGAGGTAATTCGGCGGTCTCCCAGTGTTTTCCGTGGTCAATAGAGTACGAAACTTTGTTCGTCCGGCCCTCGTCGTAGACGGCCACAAGCACAGACCCCAGGTCTCCAAATTCGTACTTGTGCGCATCCTCAAGCGCTTTTGACCACGTAATCCCGGCATCGTTAGACACATAAAGATCGCCTTCATCGTACTCCTTCAAATGGTCTCCAACGTTCCCTACACCCATAACCACGCCGGGTGCTGGACTGGAAAAGACACGGCCACTGTTGTGAAGCTGGGCTACCGAATGAAGGTGTAATTTCTTATCGCCAGCCTTGATGTCATGAAACGTTCTTCCGTCGTCAAAGGAGATCTGACTGACGACTTTCTTTTTGCGCTGATGGTTATTGTCGATTTCCTCCCAGTTGCTAACAGTGTTGATCAAGAAAATGCCTTGAATGCCAGCAATTTTCTCGAAATCGATATAGCCCAAATGATTGGAATTGACGTGTTCCGCATTGCGGGTAAAGTAGATGCCTTCTGAATTCGATGTGTACAAAGCACTCATGGGATTAAACCCACCCGTTGTCTTCACACCGACTTGGATACTGTAATTAGTAGACTCAAGAACAGTATAGGCGTCGTTTTCAAGTTTGTGCCCGTCGAACATTGCTTGATGCCACCGAGTCGCATCATCGGTTACATAAAGTGTCATTTCGGTTGTGCGGGGCGATTTCGCCGCAGCAACGAGGAACTTCTTCACGCCCGCCAGACGCACTACATCGCTGACAGGACGGCCGTTATTCAAAGGAACCTCGAATCCCTTGTCATCTTCAAAAAAGTTGTCAGAGTACAGGAGCCGTTTGTTTCTGCCCATCGGAGCATGCAGCCCGGAAAAAATGCAAAAAACGCGGTTGTCAATCTTCTCGGGAAGATCAGCTTGAGTTCCAAATTCGGGTGTCGTTATCGCCCAGTTGCAACCATGTTGGCTTTTCGTCAGCGTTTTATGGCTTTTGAATCCGTCCGTCGTGTACAAAGCTGGCATGTCACACACAAACCCAGAACAGTCGATCGTATGTAGGATGAGCTTATCTGAATCCGTGCCGTGGAAAGCAAGCGGGTTTCCGGAGCGCGGAATGTCCTGCTCGATCTTGAACGCACGCCATGACTTTCCTGCGTCCTCCGTCACCCAATGTGTCCGAGACTGTCCAAACACGTATGCCTTTTTCCGATCGTGCGGGTGGGGGTAAATGGACTTGACCTTGCCCACCATTCCATCGTCAGGGCCTTTGATGACGCTCCACGATTGTCCGGCATCGGTAGAGATGTGCGCATCGTACTTGTGTTGAAAGACTACAGTATCCGTGTCTTCAAAGTAGAACAGGTGACGGGGCTCATGGTCGAACTTTGTCGCCGTGATTTTGGGACCTTCTTTCTTCGCGGCTGCGAGAGAGGCGAGCAGCAGGCTGCCTGCCAGCAAAAGCCTTCTGAGGATCATGTTCGTGAAGAGGGAAATCGAGACATCGGTAAGAGAGGGGGTACAATAGGACCAGACGTGGAGAGCCGTCGATAGGGTCGAGTCTTCAAGGAGTCAAGGATGGATGTTGCGTCAGGGTCCAGGTCGCGGTAGGTTGCGGTTCCGATCTAAAAATAAAGATATCAAGCTGGCAACAGCTCCGATGCACCGAGTTCAACGGATGCGAACGGGAGTCGGGAGCTCAATGAAGATGGCAAAATCAAATAAGGCTAGAATTGATGCCCGTTTGAAACGCAGGGCAGTGAGATCGTGCAAGCTGGTGCCTGTTGATTCCAAAATACGCTTTGGTGTCCTCTCCGGCCCGGCCGCCCTCACGATCGACGTCGTCAAAACGGCAGAATGAGGCTGGGAATCACGTGGCCTGCTTATTCACCCGACCCAAGGAGTCTGAATGCAAGCAACGAAGAGGATATCAATTATCAAAGCGAGCAGCCCCGGATTGCCAACGGGTTTGGGGCCTAGTGCTAGTCGCCATGGAGAAACCTAGAAACTAGGAGTCTTGATTCCAGCAGGCATGGTCTAAAAAAAATGCTCCTCCGCTCCATCCCCCGCCTCTTCTTCCTTCGCTCGTCCTTCCGCCATCGTCGAGCCCACCGCTACCGGCGGCTCACCATGCTCGCAATCTTCACCATCGCCGCCCTTCTCGTCACGCCCTTTTACTTCATCTACAAGCCACCCCAGTTCCTCATCCGCTACCTCCAACACCGCTGGCCAGATGTCCTCTTTCACGTTCCCACCTCCTCCAAACTCGTTGCCCTGACCATTGACGATGGCCCGTCACAGTATACATCCGAGCTAGCCAATATCCTAAAAGAGAACGACGCGACCGCAACATGGTTCATCATCGGGGGCCAAGTACCTGGCCGGGAGCAAGTGCTACGAGACCTGGTCCAGAACGGGAACGAGCTGGCAAACCACGCCATGCACGATGAAACATCCAAAGCACTGAGCGAAGACGCCTTGCGCGAGCAAATTGGGGCTGTACAAGGTATGATTCAGCAGGCTTATGCGGCCTTGGACCCCAAGAGGGAATACCCAAAGTATTTCCGGCCCGGTGGGGGCTTTTTCGGCGCAAGGATGCAAAAGCTCTTGGGCCAATTAGGGTATCGACTGGTGTTGGGTGATATCTATCCCCATGACCCGTTTGTGCCCTATTGGCGGGTCAATGCGAAGCACATCCTGAGCATGCTACATCCGGGCGGCATCATCATCTGCCACGATAGGCGGAGTTGGACGCTCCCAATGCTGCGGAAGGTGCTGCCGGAAATTCGACGGCGAGGCTATCGGATTGTTACTGTGACGGAATTACTAGAGAGCACGAAGCGGCGCTAATCTGCCCGTAGTCTATCACTAACAATGCTCCATACCTCGCAGCCATTGCGCGCGGGGCACCTTGATTCACTTATACCATATGGTTAGAGTTTTTAATTGAAATGTAGCGACTCGTACATCAATATTTAGTTGTATATTTTTTTTAAATGATCTTTCCAGGTATGGTCGAAATGAACCGGAATTGAAAGTGAAAAGTTAAAGAAAAGCTATGCAAGACAATAACCGGCATGCTCATGACAACGACGCAAATGCTCCAAAGTATCAGAAATGCTCCATGACAGAGGGAGATATCGGGTCAAATCATCGCTAAAGGAAAATAAAAGAGCTAATAGAAGTAGACGATGGTTATCATGCAATAAACGATATAAGTCGAAAAAAAAAAAAATCGTGAGTGTGCAGGGAATGCGGAAAGAAGGTAAGCTAAAAGAAAACAAGAAAGATGGACCAGTATATTATCCGAATATTTTTCGAGAAAGATATCGCAAAAGATCCTTTGGCTCGTGACGCATGGCCGAAATCGACCGCAGCTAAGAAAACACCGAATATGTTGGGGAAATGCTAATAGAAGAACAGTCTTGCGAAACCATTAGCAGCGCCGTTTTCTGAATTTGCGTAAAATCTTTTTAATAACACCCTTATCCTCTGACGGCGTGTCCCAGATGTGCAACTCCTCGTCCGGCGCAGGGAGGTCCGCGAGCCGTAATGGATCATCGTTTTCTGAAACACGAGGAGAAGTGGTAACCGAGGGTTCGGCCGTACGCAGGTCAGCTCTCGTCAAGGTCATTTTCAGCGTCATTTCCCTGCTTCCAATCATGTTTTGCGCGTTGTTATGCGCAATGGGGACGAGACGAGGCCTGGTAAGCTGTTTGGAAGGCCTTGACTCGTATGGGCCGTGTACGGTCGTAGACGTGTCGGGGGATGTGTTGGGACTGTCATTGATATTCCGCTCGTCTGATCGCGTGTTCCTCGTGTCATTATGCGTTTCACCCAGGCAAGACTTGCTGTCGTTGTCAAAGAAAGTCCGTCGGTCGTCGTAGAGCTTCCATTCGCGATCCATCGATAATCGAGCATTGAACCCTTCTTTCAGCTCCAGTGACGGAAAACCAAACTCAATGGCCTCGTCAAACTTCTGGGGAGATGCGAGATACACCCGCAATTTCAGTCTTGCCTCGGGATCTTGATAATACTGTGCGGGGTGATCGATCGACGTTACGGATGTTTGTGATATGTGTCTTGGCGGTGGTTGCGGACGAGATAATGAGCGACGATGTTTCTGTGGAGGGAGAACAAGTGGAGGAGGTGGAACTGTGCAGGATTGACTGGTTTGGGGGATCATGGCTGCTGTAGAAGGGCGACTCCGTTGTGTCGCCTTCAACGAAAACGTGCGTCTGAAAGACGATTGATGGCCCCGATACGGTTGAACCTTCGGCGACGGTGCGATGTGAGCATGATAGTCGAGTCGGAGATCGAGGTCGTCGTCCTCGTCCAGCCATCGGAAGCTGTCATACATGGAATCATCCATATCGATCGCAGAGTCGGAGCAGTGAAGCGACGGGGTCAGGGTGATTGAGGAGGAAGTGGTCACACTCGGCATTGACGATATGGAATCCAATGATGCTCTTGCTTGATGACCAAGTTTATATAAAGCCTGGTCTGCGGCGTCCAGGATGACACTCGACGGCCAGCTGCCAAAGCACGCTCGTTCCTCGGTGCTAAAATGCGTCTGCTGGACTTTGGGCGGTAGAGAACGGAACCATTGAGAGTTTGCCTGGACAGACAAATAGGCAGCTTGAAGCGTCTCTGGCTCTCTGAGGGTTCGGCGGAAAAGGACCCTCTGTTTGGTTAGCAGCGCCCGTCTGGCATGCTTTTTGGAACGAAACCGCTGTTTCGAAGCTGCGAGATGGACACGGTCAGAAAAGTTCTTCGTGTGCGAATGCGGAGAAAAGGATTGCCAGGGTCATGGAGATCTTACCATTGGCCCTGGAAGCAGCGCCGTGACTATTATTTTTGGGCGTGCCGGTTCGTGGGACGGCGGAGGCGGAAGGGCCAGTAAGCAGTCTCGGGTGACAGGTGTGGCTCTCGCTATTCACAGCATGGGTCTGAGCTAGTCGCATTTGCTCCAGCCGAAAGCGTTCCAGATTGGAGAATAGCTGTCGTCGAAGAGACGGCGCATCGTCGTTAGCTTTGGATTTCCTCTCAAACACGCAAAATGAAGCAACACCGTAACTAGCCATTGGGCACCCAAAAGGCCACACCGACAAAGTGACAGCAAAAAAGCAATCATGACCATCATGCATATAGGGGAAAGGAAGACAGCCTGCCACGATCCCTGCCGTTGCCAGGAGCACAAGCATGTCACCCGCCTCACGCGCTGTGGGCACAGCAAAAGTCAAGATCTCCTAGCGCAACATGGACCGGCCACTCGCCAAGCTGCTAGCCAGGTCCCCATCGCTGGTCTCGCAGTGCGGAGTCCAGAATGACGGGAGAGCGAGTCCATGGCGCGAAAAGTGGCGGTTCGCAAGCACTTTTGGTGCCAGTTGTCTCGTCGAATCGTCGAGATGCGAAGAGGCACATCCCCACCCAGAGCTGGCAGGACTGCGGTTCCGATGATCATCGGCCAACACAAACCATGGATCGCGTCCTGCTTCTGTTTGTGACCTGGGGCCTTGATTGGATGCCCGCACTTGACGCAGGTTGGGCGCTGTGCGCACTGACTCGAGGCAGCAGGTGCAAATTCAAGGGGGCAGCATCTCGGAGGATTCCCACGCGGCCCTCACACCTTGAGAGAGAGAATGAGGAGCGGCAGGTTGGAAACGAGGTCAAGTGCGAGGGAAACGAAGATCTCTGCAGGGTGTCCGGATGTGAAACAGAAGCACGCCGCATGTCGAAGAAGCAATGCGAGGAGCGTTGTGCCATGGGTGACAGCTGCCATCAGGATAGGAAAGCAAACCAACTTACTTTTCTTCGCAGAGCAGGTGGAAGAGCATCGATGTCTTCCGGCCGCTGCTCGACCATGGTGATGTCCTTTCGTCCCATGTGCATCGTCCCTAGATCAGCGTGGACGGCAGCCGTACATGCAAATATCTAGCAGGCGTGTGCAGAACGAAGTAATAACATAAAAGCAAACAAAGGACTCAAAAGATATTGAAGCTTGAAAGACTTGGACCACAAGCTCATATAACTATTAGCTAGCTGTTCAAACATCCAAAACATCCATGGGGCAGAGCGGAGCTGCTTTGTACTGTACATCGATATATATCCCCAGGAGAATTTCCAGGCTGCTAAGCGCCCGCCCTGACGGTGCCCAAGGCTACGACTCACTAATGCAGTGCCCCTCGTTCTCTTCAATCTCCTTGCTGTCTGTGCCATCATATCTTTACTCTCACAATCATCGGCCAATCGCCGACCAACCCAGGACCACTCCCGCAGTCAGCAAATCAAACGGCATCATCCACAAGAGTCTCCCTGCATCGAGATGGATGGGAAACGTGGCTCGCTTTGAACCTCTGCCACCAACGGACATCTCCGTATCCGTCCAAAACCTCCCGACCGAACCGTGAATCTAAAACCCTGGCTATCTGTGCGCACCCATCCACCTCCCCCCAAAATCAAATCTAGCCTCGCTGGCCGACGCCGCATGCATCGACCGAAAAGGGGGCTCCTCCGCCCGCTCCCCTGACCGCCTGTTACACCGAAACACCGTTGAGTCCGTATATTCAAAACATGAACTCGAAAGGGTCCCATTTGTGCACTTCCCCCTCCAGGGCCTGCAGGGCTGAGCGTGGTACGGGGGTTCTCCCTGAAACTCGCCCTTTTTGCCCAAATTGGAGCCATGTCAAGCGATCCCTGCTCCCTGAGTCGGGGTTGACAGATTAGTTCAAAAACGCAAGGGATGGCTGCTTTTTCTGCCCCCAGAAATTACTGTAAGCGCCGCCGCTAATGGCTATTCTTAGTCCAGGTGGTTACATCCAGCCCATCGTTGCTAACAACGGAGGTGAAGGCACAAATCAACAGCTGACATCTCAAGTCAAGGGCGATACGACGATTAAGACACGATAACTAACTCCCGCACCGTGAAACTTCTTTGTTCGCCAGTTCAAGCCACATCCACAACTAGCACCTCCACAAACTCTAGCCAAACATTTTGAGCTAAGCATGGACTCTAAACCCTCTCGGGCGATTATAGGCGTTAAATATTCTGGACAGAGAGGAGCAAGAGTTGGCTGTATGGACGATATCAACCAAAGGCTCTTCCAGAAAACGTCGCGATTTCCCAGAGGAACGTCCAGAGAAGTTGAAGAAACGAATGCGTGGTACGGAGCAATTCCAGAATGTCTCAGCTCGGTACGGCGGAATATCACTCAGAAAGCGCTCTTTGACGAGGTTCCGTCGACTTGGGTTTCGAAATCTCAGCGCCAATCGTTGTAATCGATGCAGGATACAAGGATTAAACCGGTGGAACGGTGACAGCCATTATTTGGTGAAATAAATAATTCCATAAATCCAATTCGATTTGTGGAATTTTTGCGAGATCCAAAACAGGTCTTTCTAGGGACACCACATCTAAGGTTCCTAGCAATCCCCCTTGCTTTCGAATCAATTCAAGGCCATGTTCAGAGTAAATTCTAAGAATAACAAGTCGATTTCCTGGTCTGGACTCGCTAAAGATACCCAGTAGTAGCTGCAACCGAGCAAGAATATGAAATCCTCCGCCGAGTCCGCCCCAAGAGAAAGAATACACAACAAATGAGAAACCAGATATTCAGCCTCTCAGCTCCTCGCCATTCGTCATGGGAACAGGAGCAGCGCACGGTTCCTGCATGCAAATCTCCCAATAAGCATAACTTTTCGCCTCGACGATCATCCAAAATATGACCTCTCACCTTAATCATGCCCACTTTTGTGGCTGCAGTCTGTTCTCAACGTTCCGCAATCGGATAATTTGTAGATCAGAAGTCGATCGATCGATGGAGAACAGAGCATTTGTTCTTTTCCTCAAAAGAAAAGGTATTGGAGATATCAGATGTGATTAAGTTGAGTTGATAATTCGACCATAAAATTTGAATGCATCACAGAGTGCGGTGAACCCTGTGAGAAAGGTTCCTCTTATCGACTTTGTATTGACTGTGCCATTGACAAACAACAGAGTTTATTCTATCTCTATCACATGGCCTCCTAGAACTTCATTTCAACATATCGAACGGCAATTAAGTAATCATTTCAATTACTGCTCATTTGCAGACATAGTCTCTGGATTGCAAGAAGGAAGAGGCGCCAATCGAACACTGTTTTCTTGTTGTTGATGCGTTGCTCGATTTCGCAGCGATTGAACCGCACGTCTGGCAATTAACCGGCACCGTTTGACCCGAGGCTTGGAGTTTGGAGCGGAAAAATAAATCGTTGAACCATGACTCAATGTGTAACGAAGACGCGAAAAACCGATCCACGGTTTGAACGATGCATGGTGCTTGATATTTCCTCCTGCAGGCTGCATGCAAGTTCCAGTCACGCCGGCCCGAGGTTCAAAAGCCGACGGCACGTCTGGACATGGAGTACGGAGTAGTTGCCTTTGTTTCTCACAGAGTCACCACACAGGCTGGTGTTGTCCTCAGTGATGATATCGAATTCCTTTAGCAACATCTCCAAACAAGGCACGTGACTCTAGTTAGCTTATATTACTAAGCATCTGAGCTCTTGTGACACCTTACCAAACCCGGTTAGAGTGTAACCCTCCACTAACTATTTACATAAGCAATTGGGGAAAGCACAAGATGAGGAGCAAAAAGCGGTGGTTTGTTCACATTCTTTTGCGACGGGACGCCAGTTCATCAGCTCCTTGTATGTATCTACGCATTCCCCCGTCTCATTGACGCTTCTATCCGTGTTGCCTTGCTGCTGTATACCGCGCTTAATTGCGTTGTACCGCCTGGATTCTTCCGCACGTAAGTTGGCTTGCTTTTCCCCACGCATCCGTTCAATTCTCTTTGAATTGCTGCCAAATTCGCGACCGTGTCAGAACCCTGTGGCGTTTCTTCAAATGGGGTTTTGAAGCGAAGGTGTTTCAATGGCATATGTGACCATGGATATACGTGTCTCTCCATCAGTTTACCTGCCGGTGATGTCAGGAGAGTGCCATCGCGATGAGGCCAGCATGAGCTCCAAAATGTCTTTGTAGATATGCCGGGGCACAATGCCTCTTTGATCCGCGATGCTAGTCCGTTTAATTGTTTGGGAAATATCATTGACATGGATGGACTTTTTTTAGGGGAACCCTCCGCCTTTTCCGTCGACATATGCCCACCCTTTCTCTCAAAACCCCCCCACAAACTGTACTTCAACCAACGCAAACAGTTACATTGGCTGCGAACGTTTGCCTATTTCCGCAAGCAGGGGAGCCTTTTTGAGGATGGACTCCAAAGAAATCGAAGTCAAGTCGAAAGCGCTGACGAAAGCCACAAACTCAGCGGAGCCACCCTCCACCTTAATTTCAATACTTAAAGATCTCCAGAATGGCGTTCGACCTACGGAAGATTTGTTACGTGCGACCAAGATTGGCATCACTGTGAACAGGTTAAAGACGCACAAACATCCTGACGTTGCCAGGCTAGCAAGCGACATTGTTCATAAGTGGCGTCACGAAGTTAATAAACAGAAGACGAGCGGATCTCCAACTACAAGCCAACGGTCGAGCGATTCTCCAAAGCAGACTCCTAACGGGGCAGCAACACCGACGCCCGGAGCTGAGGGCTCAGATAAAATGTCGAAATCAACGGTGCCTCCCGATAAGAGGAGCTGGAAGGCAGATCAACTTACGATGGATCACACCAAGAATAAGACGCGTGACAGCTGCATCGGCTTGCTTTACGACGGCTTGTGTTTAAGTTCAACCGAATCTCCTCGCACCGTGCTTCAAAAGTCCATTGAGGTCGAAGCAGCTGCATACAACGCGTTCGGGCCTGAAACCAAGGATCAATACCGTACCAAAATTCGCAGCCTATACCAAAACCTCAAGAACAAATCGAACCTGAGCCTTCGTATGCGTGTTCTCTCAAACGAAATTACTTCCGATAAATTCGTTCGCATGACACACGACGAACTGAAATCCGATGAGCGCCGGGAGGAAGATCTCAAGATCCAAAAGGAAAATATGGATAAGGCTATGGTTGCCAAGGCCGAACGAAGTATCAGCAAAAGTTTGCAGTGTGGGAAGTGCGGACAGAGAAAGGTCACATATACAGAGGCGCAGACGAGAAGTGCTGATGAACCGATGACCCTCTTCTGCACTTGCCTTGCTTGTGGGAAATCATGGCGTCAATAGGACGACATCTTTAGGGTCTATCTTCTTTATTCGACCCTGAATATCGGACTTTTAAAGGACATTTCTGGTTGCTTCGTGAAGTACCATCCTTTTTTCTTTTTCTCCCTTCTTTTAATTCTAATGGATTTGTTTTATTACCGGGAAGTTGATATTGCTCTTATGGATGGCGTACTGCGCTCAATCGAGGGTGTGCTCGTTTGAGATTACTGTGTTAGGTTGTATTTTCGCCCCTTGGAGCTCGAATCCAAGATTTCTTCTCAAAGTCCCTGCCACCTTTATTTCGCTTCTTTTGAACGTGTTTCTTTCTACCCCTTTTCTCGCAGGGCATCAAGATGTGCAATTAGATTAGATTTACAGCCCTATAATTCTCTATTTGGGCGCTGTTCTTCAAATTTGATCTGGCGGCTCACTTTGTTCAACCTTCAATTTTCGCACAATACCGTCATCTTCGGCACGTGCGGAGGCACATCTCTGCTGCGGTGCCACCTTTTTACTCTACTGGTGGTAATGTATGTACATCACTTGTAACAGAAAGCTCTACAATATGCGGCTGCGCTTTGAGTGGTTTCAAGAGCCTTGATTACCGCAAAATAAAACACGAATACATGTTTTTCAGAATATACGGTATTTCTATTGGCCATATAGTCATGGCAGAATGGGTATATCTGCATCACTATCTCACGTAGGGCTGCGGAGTATGGAGAAGAATCCCATATCAATCCGTCACGAGGCCATAATTCAACATGAATACAAACTGTCTTGGTGAACCTGGACTCAAAACTCGAGGAGTCGTGGCCACTAGACGACAGTGAGGATTTGCCGGGGGCACGCGCCGTTTACAGGATACTGATTCAGGGGCCTCGAAGGCGGTGCCGTGGCGAACATATCCCTTCCTCGCTCCATATTATTCGAACGTTTGCGGGGTCACCAATCCTGCAAAGGTAATCTTTGCTATTCCGGTCTTTGAAAGGGGAATATTATTCCCGTGCAACAACGTAGTAAAACATACTCCAATTTTGACTAACCAGCCTCATATCTTTCCCTCGTTCGAATCAAGCATACTAGCCTCCTTATCGTCACGAAACGTATCTGGGAAGAAACCGGGTGGTGGCCAAATATCTGCAATGGACGCTGGACGAAGCAGAGGATTCGTCCCCGCCACACGCTCCGGATCACGACAGAATGCCTGGAACGCAATCTCGTCAACGAACCCGAAATCTTTGAGTTCTTGTTCACGACTAGTCGTCCACTCGTTGGTGTCTAGATGTGCCAAATCATCAAAGATCGAGTCGAGGTCGTTGGTGGGCAGCGGGTGTTTGGGTTGTAGTCGCCGGTTGGATTCCGACGCCTTTGCAATGGCGTGGGGGAGGTGTTGAAGCGGGAGTCGCGGGCTGTAAATGAGTTGAAAACTGATCAGAGACCGTAGACGGATCTGCGGTTTCGGTGCTCGAAAAATGGGATTCGTAGGGCGTCAAGAAGTTGTTGTCAAGCAACTCTGCCTGAGCTGCTCCGTTTAGCTGTCCGTCGGATCTCATGCTAGATACCAGCGGTGAAGCGGCTGGGATGGCGGCGAGGTTCGCAGGGCCGTCGTTGGCGTGTTCAGGACGGGACATCAAGGCCAGAGAAGAGATGGTGTTATGCCGCAAGGCTTGACCTGGGTCGTTTTGCGGCGAAGAATCGATGTGTGATAGCCCCTCCATCTCATCGTTCAACATCTGATGGCTCCCAGCTAACCGTCTTACATCCATGAAATCTGTCATTGCCACAGAATGTAGTGAGCCGCGTTTAAAGGGTCCAGCTCGTTTGTTCCCAACTTCTTCAGCGAAGGATGCCATCACCGGCCAAATTCCTCCAACCTTCGACACCTCGTGGGATGTGGAATCCAACCACAGCGAGAGCTGAAGCTCATCCTGCTCGGTAGCTGCACCGCCAAACCGAGCACAGTCGGAGATTGCACGCAAAGGGCACTCGAATAGCGGTGGAAGGGTGAACTGTCCAAATACTTCTCCGTGACCAGAAAGAAGAACCGGCACCACCTGCAATAGCCTTCGTACCGGATAATACAAGCCTTGAACCTGTGAAGAGAATCGAGTGAAGAAGAAACTTAGCGTCGCGATGTGAGTCAGAGAAAGGTATATCTGATGAGGAAGCAGCGCGGTCGTGTTTGCCGAAGCGGCACTGTTGCAGAGAGCAGCAAGGCGACAAGCGGGAGGCAACTTATCCTCCCAGGCTTGCATGTCCTTGATGATGGTTTGACAAAACCACTGGGCGTCGAACCCATATGGTTCGTGTCGAGATATGCGGTTTAAAAAGCTGGCAAGCTCAACAAGTCGGTTGAAACAGCTTCGCGCAAGAAGCGGGCCGCGACCAGGCAGGACCTGGCCTTGAGCAGGACCATTGGGATAGAGGGCCTCCATCCACGGGTTCCATTCCTCCAATCCATCCTCCTCGAGCGGCCCGACTGGAGCCAGGTCCTCGGGTCGCATGTGCGGGCATCTCCCGAGGCGGACAGCAAGGAGGGTGTCGACCACAAAGCATCCGAGGAAAACGGCCTTGGTCTGATGGCTCACTGGATGCTGCCTGTGATCCGCTTGCCGTCCAATCCCAAGGTGCAGCACCAAGCTGGTGGCTTGATTGCTTAGAAGCCATGCCGCGGTCCAGTCTCCCAGTCCAATGTTCACCAGGGTCAAGAGGAGTAAGGCCTGGACGTGACCAGTCTCGAAGTTTTCCTTTTCAGTCGGTATGAGACTCCTAGCGACAGCGTAGAACTCTTTCGACGTCGCCAGGGGGTCAGCAAAACCTAGTTGTTCGGAATCGGACGATGACTTCAATTGTGCTGTTGTATAGCTGAGAATTGCCCAGAGCGCCGCATGGTCGCCGGAGACGGCAGCCTTCCTGCTGAGAGACAGAGGCTCAGACGAATATGAGTATGAGGTCCGTAAAGCGCTATGTTTGGCTATGATCGGAAACCAGGTATGGGTGTGTGCAAAGTAGATATCGAGCAAGCGTGGTGTCTGGACTGGAAGTTGTAACTGGCAGGAATCAGGACTCGAGGATGGATTGTGTGCAAGCTTAATCCTTTTGAATCGAGCACCGCCGGACTGCTCTAATTCTAAGCCACCGGATGCCGGTTGCGTCTCGATGCGATATTCGAAAGGGTCGTGTGGACCAACGTGGGATTCTGCACGCTCGACTGACGGGCCTCGATTCTCGCTGTCGGCTCTCGAGGATAAAACGCTCTCGATATCTCCCGCGGAGAGCAACCGTTCAAGTTCCCTATAGAGGCCACTGGATTTCCACGAGTCGTGCAGCTTCTCGGAGATGGATTCTGTCACCCAGAGAGAAACGAGCTTCCGTCTCCTGTGGGATGCCGGTTCATTATTCGCACCCAACAAGCTTAAAACGCTTTCCTCCAGGCCATCAATGTTCGACATCGACAGTGCCCAGAGCTTCTCCAATCCACGGACGTAGCCTTCTGGAAGCCCGCGCTTCTTGGCTGAGGGATCATAGGAGCAGATACTACCAGAACTCTGGCAGGCAAGGCATGCAGGACGTCTTCCATCGCAGCGATCCTTCTTGCTGCGGCATCGGTCACAAGCTCTAGACACGCGCTTCCGTCTCCGGCCTCCTTGCTCTTGTGCGTCCTCCATTGAAGCCTAGTTATTGGGTGTCCGGGCTAGAGCTCGAGTGCATTGATAGCACCGGTTGCCGGGTTTCAAACACGACGATAAGAAGCACCAAGCAGTATTTGCCACGCAAGGACGAATGAACATCGTCAATCCCGGTCAAGGCACGAAAGAAGCAAATCCAGATTCTGAAATAACTGATCTCAAGCCTGCCAATTGAGCGTCACAGTCACTCTGGCGTTGCGGAAGCATTCCGCCGTTTTGGGGGCTTGAAGTGATGGCAAGAGCAAGAAAGCCAATGGTATTATAGCACGGGCAGAAAGTCGACCCAAAGGGAAACGATATTGCAGAGCGGATGGTGTCCATTATGTATATAGTCCGCTAGCCTTCATTCTGGAGCAATACGGGGCGCCCAAGCGAAAACTATGGAGAGCGGAATGAGGGGAAGTTTCGGTAGCCGTGTGGGCGGCTCCTAGGGTCGGGTTGGGAACTCAACTGTTTCTCGAAGTCGTGCTCCGAAGAAAATCTAGTCTCCCTGATTCCCGGGATTTTGAGTGCAGCTGGTCCATTTTTGTGGCGGCAACAAGCTCCCAGGGGCGCCAACGATATCCACTTGTCGCCGAGAATCGCACTCTTGCCAAAGCTACGGGATTAATTAAGCGTTTGTCAACCATTACTTGTCTGTCTAATGGTTGGAAGCTGTGAAATGAGGGCCGAATTCGTCTCTAGCTGGGATGGCTATCTTCAAAGCGAATGGATCTTTCGGTGATGGCGCCCGAAATTTGTGTAACCAATGCTGGCCTTCTCGCCATGCGGGAAGAACGGTCTGAGAAACTTCACCCTCTCGGTTACAGATGCAACGGCTGGGATACATATTTGCCGCTGGCAGATAGCTAGCTTTGGAAGTCGATTGGCTTTTGGGACAGCTACGTGGTAGACGGGGCAGATGTAAAGCGCGCGTATCGATGCAGTCTGCCGTACGCAGTATCAATGGCCCTGGGCTTCTTTGACAGGAAGTGCTGGATTAATACAACCTGACGAGTAATCGCGGATAAGAGCATGTCTGGACCACTTCAACAAACCTTTGACTCCTCAAGGCGAGTTCGGGCTTTGATTGCAACGAGATGGCCTTCGCTTCGCTAGCGGATACCGATGTCTTGAATCAGCCTATGCCCTACCGAGATCTCATCTCCAAGCCTTGACTAGATTTCAGATCCTTCCTGCCGTGTGGGGTTTGGGGTCAGTTATCGACGGGAAGGCAACCGCCAAAACGACGTCTGACATTCGCTTTCAGGCAACTGAGCTACAATGCACTGCAGCCTGGCTCTCCTACTTGCGGCCCCTTGAGCACAGCGCAGCTGGTAACACAATCTCGGGGATTACTTCAAGAAGGGATCAAAGGCGCGCATCAGCTGTGCGACAGGTTGAGCTTTTCCATTTGCTCTATTGCTGATATTGGTGTAGCATTGAGCTCTCCCTAAGGGGGGAAGCGGCGCATTGGCATGCAGTGAACGGCGAGGCGATTGTCACCTTGTTCCAGTCTGTCCGCAGCCTGAACCGTTGGGACTGTTTCAAGCAGCTAAATGCGATGAACGCTATTCAAGACTAACACCAGCGAAACGCCTTTCGCGCGGGACACTCAACACAGGATGGATGTAGTGCTCTGCATGCCATCTCGGTCCTCCGGCGGGCTGACGGTGGCAGCCGGGGCCAGCTGGCGACTCGGTCCGATTTCGGGAGCGTCTTCAAAGCTGCGCCCAATCGCAGGCGTTGGAAATTTTCGAAGGACCCCGACATATTCAACTACCCAGTCGGGATTAGTGGGCGAGACGAAGCCATGTTCTCCACTCCGATCAAAATATTCCGTCAGTCTGGCTTCAGAAGAGATTTTTGCTCCATAATTAAACAGCCTACGCCTCCGGATTTCAAGCGTGGAGACCTTGGGGTTGGCGAAATGTCAAGATTTCGAGAAGACAGAGTTCACAAGAACGATTCGGTGAAACCGACATCAAATATCGCAGGCTGCAGTTGTCCAAAGACGTCACAATTCAAAGTCCTTGATTGGTTTGTTGTACTCACTTCCCGTCCCAATAGAGTTGGTGAATTCCCTCCTTGCACAGTATCGGCGTTGGATTTAAGGCGCAGCAAGCGACATTCTTCAACTGTACCACAGCTGCAGCTGGCAACAGTAAAATCCAGGTACCGTCTTTTGAGTCTTATCCAGCCTGATCCAAGTACGTGCATGAACGCCCAGAGGGCATTTGTACTGCGCGGTTATCTACCGTCGTTCTCTGGGAGGATCACTTTTTCGGCTTCTCTCCCTTGAGCTCGTCTCCCGGCATTTCGAGATCACTTTTTTTTTCTTTGATGAGTGGAGGGTCCCTGGCCCATGCCAACAATAAACATTGTGCGACAGCTAGGCTTTGTTGATATTATAGAATTGCCTGGCTTTGGGGCATTGCCAGTCCTACAATAACAAGTAGCAAGCGACATGTTCCTACCAGGATAGCAAGGACTAATGCACGCAAGCATTTTATCAATAGAAGGGCCAAACTGTCAACCTGAACCTGGTCCAAATTCCCCACAGCATATGAAAGAAATCTCATTTCTTGCAGCAGTCAACATGGCTGTAATCCTATGTGAAGCCGCAGTGGCCCTACTGCTGATTTCCCGTCCTGTTTAGCCACATTGACCACAGCGACCAACCGCACAACTACCGAGAATTCTTCGCCACCACCTCCTCAGCCTCATTAGAGCATTATTGTGAAGGTTCTCGTCTCCATCATAAAGCTTCGCGGCTTTTCGCTTATCCCGCTTACGTAAAACGTGCCTCCCCAGTTCAGCATTTGCCGTCAGATGCACTCG